ACTGATTATATTGTGTGCAAAGCTTCAAAACTACAGAACATTTTGTAAACAACATGAAATATAAATATCAAACACAATTTAAATTATAAATAGTAATACAATTGAAATCGAGATTGAAATATACAACGAAATAGCAACCATTGTGTGTACCAAAGCAACCAAAGTACGCATAAGTTTCAACATGACATTCGATATAGTGTAAATTAACTCATTTCAATCACTCAAACGTCAAAATGATAAATAATAATCATTTTCAATCTATTGTAGTAATTCACCGTTTCCACGGGTTTTTTACACCCATTAAAAAGTTACAATAAAGCTATATCTATAGGAAATAACGTTATTTAGTTATTAATTTGTAAAGTAAATCTAACAGTCAATCACTTTTGATAAAACCTTGACCCGCCTTGACATTGTTAAAGGGGCCCTACAGTCATTTTTTAGTCAAGTAAGTATTGTTTACATTTTTGTTATTGTCGCTACTTGACATGCGCATCAAGGCATGCATGCGTCTTCCGCCGTGGGGAAGTACTCATATTTATGGATACTGCATGTAAGATACAGCCAAACGAATCTCCGTGGAGTCCCCTACTTAAGGTGGCTTTTCGCCTAAAAAATGACTGTAGGGTCCCTTAACTCCCTTTAATGTTATTATTACCGTCGCTTGCAACTAACTATTAACGGTCGCTTAAAAAAACATTGTCTATATTCGCGTGTTTCTGCTGGGGTCTACATAGTAGGCAAATTCGCGTGAGAGCCGTAAGTTTTCTTATTTTGACATAATAGCTATTTTGCAATAAATATATTGATATTAAATTTATTGAATCGATATTTTAAATTTCACTCCAGTTGTACCAAAGGTTATAAGCGCTACAGCGCATAATAAGCATAAATATCTTATATAAGATATATGTGATCATAAGTTTCAGATGGCATGCAACATGTACGCAGTGCGTACCTATTTTTAAACCATTTTAAAAAACCTTAAGAAGAATGTTGACGCAAAATGAGCTAGATACGGAAAATAAAAAAACAACATACCATCACAACAACAACAAAAAATCTGTGTTGTGAATGAGTGCAACATATTTAAGTTTGAAAAAGAACAATTTAATGTCGACCATGACTCCGAAAGCTCGTTCTCATAAAACGTAAGTGAATAGTATTTCGTCTTGATCCATGAAAGCGAAGCTCTCAGACAAAGAGTTATTTACCTTTCTTTCCTTTCCAATGAATGATTCATCCCAATACCTCCCGCAAAATAAAACAACATGGCTACGACTGTTTATGGTCACAATCATTATCTATATTATTCATTCTTGAAGAAACTATACAACAATAACTATTTTAATCTACAAACAATATAATTATATTAGAACTAATTCAAAGTATCTAAAGATAAAAAATTGTTCAGTTTTCTTTGTTCTCCAACACGTCCGTTTTGTTAATTTACTGGCAGAAAAATACCAACACGACCTAATCACAAGCGCTATGTTCTACGTCTTGACCAGATGACGAATACCGTTTACTACTGCATATGAAGGAACGCCACATCCTTAGTCTCATGATCACCAAGTAGGACCAAACAAGTCCACAACATCGTAACTAACACCACGCATAGTCTAGAATAATTAAAACTTTCCTTTTACACGTGATTCAACTGGTTCTTTGGATTTTCTCAATTTTGTTTTTCAGTACGAATGTTCCTTCAAATCGTTGCACATTTTTACCATAATTCCGAAATTTAGTTTCTAGTAGTTGGACAACCCACCATTTGTCAATTTCATTACTACCATTCTCAAACTTCGCATTGATTTTAATTCTTCCATAAGAATCAGTTCACCTTAATAAATATATTGTGCATTCCTTGTGTTCAACAAATCAGCACGATTATCAGGGTATAGCAATATACCATAGCTTGTTGAAAGTTAAAATAACCATTCCTCATACATGTGGCACATTGTGATCTGGAATCATAAATCCACATGCATGCATATATTTTCAACAAATATATCACGCATTATGCTGGACACTTATAGATATGTATTCACACATCACAAGTAGTACATCCGAGCGTGGGATACAAGGACAGTACGTAAACACGTATATTTTCAGCAATGAGAACAATGTACAATTTTTGTCCACGTGAACGGCTACGGTCTTTCGAGATGGTGATGACATTACTTTCAGCTTTCCAATATAATGTTTTCAAGTTATACTGCATATTTGTCTTTCACAAATTATCGACTTTTCCAAATATACCAACTGACATTAGCTTGTCAGAAGTTGCTTTGGCATTATTCCTGTCTATCAGTCACATTCTACATGATCAAGAGTTTGAAATCCATCAGTTAAAAGTCATTCAACCGCTGTATAATGGCACGATAGAGGGATTGTTCGTAGAGGCGTAGATTTTCAACAATATAAACACTACACAATCTAAACGAATCACGATCTTTTGACGTGTTCATTAATTTCCTTTGACGTTGCAGCACGACGAATTCAAATAACCATGTTCATTGATGGTAGTCCACACTAATCATCGATATTTCAACATAAACGAACTGCAACATGCTTGTGGAAGACACCGTTACCATTAATCCCGTATATCGATTAGTCACATTATGACCAGAAATTTTCGAATCCAGTTGAATCACCAACAAATATATATATATACCACGCATTATTATCATAAGTGATGAAATGCTAACAAATACAGCAACGGTTCGGTTCGTAAAAGCCGACGTATACTTTCAACGATGATAATACTGCAGTCTTTTTGTCCAAGTAAATCACTGACACCCTTTCGAGATGGTCATAATACTTCTTGTGTTGTTTTACAGTACAATGTTTTTAAGTCAAATCCAGATGTTTATCCCATTCTTGAAAGCTTCTTTAAACTTCGCGTTGGCAAAGCAACAAGATATTGCAATATTGTTTACTAAATTCCGATAAATCAGTTTGACGTCGCTATACTGCGCATCCAACTAAGTCGGGTTAAAATGTCCCTTTCAATATTTAAAAAATAAAACATGTTTTTCACCTAAATTGTATATGGTACCGAAACGTATAACTGTATAGTTTCGTTTTTTTGAGTATGTAATGAGTTCAACAAAAAAAAATGCTCTTGAGTACGTTACGATATGGTGAAGTGGAAAACAGGCTTAAGCTTTAATGACAAAGCTGTGGATAGAGAAGGATACAAAGGAAAACAGCATCGAAGTTCTACTTGTATTTTTCAGGTAGTTGTATCCCTCTCAATCCAAAGCTGTCTTGTTATCCTTGCTACTTTCACTAGCAGGACCGTTCGAGATTAAGCTTTAATGTTTTGATTATGAAAATATTTTTTTAGGAAAAGAAGCAGCTTTAGACGATTGACTTGCTCCAAGTTACAAAAACATTCCCGCGAGCGAGGACACTTTCATTTTTTGGCTTTAGACAGAAAAAAGTCAATAGAGGTTTACTAGGAAATGAATTTTTCTTTTTTCTTTTATGCAGAACATTAGTCACTGATTATTTAAAAATATAAATACGCTAGATGTTATATGCTTCAACTGTATTTCCTCCCAACTCAGAACACGTCAATTGGATACGCAGTCAAAATGTCGAACTGGCATATTTGGTTCGACTAAATTGCATGTTTTTAACGTTTCCATGATGTATTGATTATCAGAAAATCATCATTATCAAAATTGGGGCTCTTTCTTCATCATTATGTTTAACTTATTTATTTTATTTTTACTAATTTACCCAAATATATTATATAAACAACTATATAACATAATTCTTTATAATTTACAGTCACCTGGCTGTTTTCTAATGTGACAAGAATGTTATTTATTTAATCTGAACGACGAAAGTACTTTTTCAATGTTTCTTGGAAAATGCTATGATATTTAGTAACGCCATAATCTTTTCATATTGTGTGAGAGGATTATTTCATAAAAGACTTCTCACCCTGTTTACGTTTCTAACAGGCAAAATTCACTCAAAACCACCAACAAATGAGAACTTTTTCATTGTGAAATGCATTTATTACACATTATCTAAAACATGTCTCTTTACTTTTACTGGTTCTGGGCAGATATACTGTACATGCCCTTTGCTGCACTATAAAGTCATTAATTTTTGAAAGCGAAAAAAACATTCATCAGGAATGAAATAAACTTTAACACTTCAAAACCGCACGTGATATTTCATGATGAATGTGCTGCATGAATCTTGTTATCTGAATACAAATAGTTTATTTTTCCGTTTTGTGATTGGAAATCTGGTGGTAGCAATTTTCTTTGATTGTTCAGATCTAAGTTTTACCCAATCCATTGACGAAAAACACTGATCTATCAGTTTGACAAATTCACTTCTTGATGATATATCAGTATACAATTGGAATGTGTCCGCAAGGAAATGGAATCGATTATGTAGGTTATCACTATATAGGTTGCTTCGTACTCCAAAAAACCCGCAAACTTTAGTCTTTGTCAAACTTTGGTTTTTCATAGAGGAACGAATTAAGCTGCCCTGTGCAATACATGAAGTAAGAGCCCCAATTACAGTGGCATCAAGTAGCAATGATAACCATTTTCAAGATGCTGAAGACAACAAGAACCAAACTTTCATCCACGGCTAAAGGCATTTCGGGCGTGCTAAATATTTAAAAGGCCGTGGTTTACGTCGATACATCTGCCGCATTGATTGTAAACATTTACGAATGTCTCAATCGAATATTCATTCAAATAACTGGTAAGTTAACCAAAATTCGATTGAGATATGGGTTTGAAAACACTGACATTTTAAACTTTCTTCGAATATTTATTAAATAAGTACTTTTTGAATAAACGCAACTTTCTCTGTTAAGATACTTTCATGTCGAGTTTTTGGTTATTAAATCTAAAGCCTTCAACAGGTGAAAGAATACAGTTGACACGATCTTATAGAGCGTGGGCGATTAATTAATGCAGACATGAAGTTGTTAGCGTCAATGTTTTCCATGGATTGCAGACAATTTTTGAGGGAGTGGCTTTGAGATATTGCTGCATTATTGTAGCAATAGCAGTCTGCCATGATTTAAATTTTTTCTAATGCTCTTGTTTCCTTTGTCAATAATTTGTCTCGTGTCAAACTTGGACCAACGTGACCAGTTTCATGCATGTTTGCCTAAGGCTGCGTTTGAGTTGTTTTTTTTCATTTTGAATGCGTTTTTCTTTCTTGTTTCAAATGACTTTCGTGTTTCGCCAATATAATTCTTTGAGCAATCTCCACAGGGGTTTATGTGAAACTTTAGAACCATGACACACTGCTGTTGCTAATAATGCTGACAATATCTCAAAGTCGCTGTACTACTTATCCTTAGAAAACAAAACGCTAATAACCGCATTAATGGTCTGCATTAACACAACGATTTCTCAAACGATGATGCACTGTATTAGTCTAGCTATGAAAATGGAACTGTTAAATAGTTGGACGTTATATTTAAAGCCCGAAGAAAAGAAGAATGAGAGTGCATGAGAGTTTGCAATCAAGCCATATCCTTGGTTAGCTGTTCTTTATGCTAAGCTTTCACAAAACCATCGGTATACTTTTGAGTTAAAACTTGGTTGGAACACTCAACAAACATCCATTCTGTTAATCTAAAGCTTCAAATGTCCGCGGTAACAATGCGCAACTGTCAACTCTTATTCTCGTTTGATCAGGTCTTAAATGTTTTGAAGGGAAAATACGTACAACATTCTACATTCTGCAATTTACGCATGAAAAACAATTATCAACGTATTATCAACGTATAGAAAACATTCAGCCTAATCCCCGGCTCTCTCTCTATTCGCTGCTTTGATATATTTAAATAAATCTTAAAAGTTTTATGCCTGGTTGTGCTTGCGGAACGCTTCAGCGAGAGAGCCTAGCAGATTTCGGTAAAATGGTCCCGGATTTCAAAAAGTGGTCCCTGGCCTGGTTACCAAGCATACCGCATTTGTAAATAGGAAATGTTATGGAAATGTCCCTTGCGTTTATAATTAAGTCATTAGTTTTGCTCTAATGCTGTCGCAACAATTAAATAGGCTACGTTTCGCTACCATACGGTCAGAATGGAATAACGGGCTAAACTCGTGTTTACTAAAATATAAAGCCATGTTAAATGCTATCTAGAAGCCTGAAAATTATGCCGAGTCTCCGACTAAAAATGTTTTGACAACACAGTCATGTCAGGAAAGTATTTCCAATCTCCTCAGCTTCTTAAACCTGTCAAGTAAAAAGCGTAGTTGTGTATACCAGTATGGCCTATAGTGTTGATCACAACTTGCGAGTATATATATAAATAACATCAACGATTATACGACCATTGCTCATTGAGACTCAGTATCGTAAATTTGTATACAATTTTTTTTAATTGAGCACATTTTTAATACAGTTTGAAGTTGGTTACGTAGACATCGAACATGATCAACGAACATTGTCGTATTTACAAGGTTATTTGTATATATAAATTTTCCGCCATATTAAAAATACTGAAATCTGCTAGGCGTTCTTAAGCACCTTTAGCAGTGACGTCACACGTAGGTCCCAGTCTCGTACTACATCCACGTTTTTTCTCGCGCTTGCTTCAGAACGACTGGGACTAGGCTGGAAAACATTGAAGAATTTTAATTAATTTTATATTCAATATGTTGTTCTCAGAAAAAAATATGCGACGTGTCAAAATGTTTCCAAACTCAGATTCATAATTTGTTTGCTACAAAACCTTTTTTTTCTGGTTTAGATTTCGGGTCGTTTTTTAGCCTGCGAACAGGCTCTCAAGCTGAATTGAGAGCCTGCATCGATGACTAATGAATTTGAATATCTGCCCCGTAACGTTCGTTTTTCCAAATATGGAATGTCTATCCTTATATGGTGTTGTTTATAACTTTCGTGCAAACTAAATTTAGACCGTGCAAACTAAATTTAGACCATACAGTTTATATTGTTTTTCGAAATATAAGTTATTCAAGCAAAAGTTTAAATGTTTTAAATACTGTTTTCTCAAAACAGAACATTTCGTGCTTTGAGATGAGATGGCCAAGACCAATTTGATCAGTTAATGTGTTATTTATGCATAGTGTTTCAACAGTTGACATATATAGAGCTCAGCGGAATAATATAAATTATAGCATCTGACCAATGAGAATTTCGCGTCACGATTTGAGACGCAGATATTCAAATTCATTAGTCATCGATGCAGGCTCTCAATTCAGCTTGAGAGCCTGTTCGCAGGCTAGTCGTTTTTCCGTTTTAAAACTTTATTATCATATTATTCAAATTATGTTAAAAATTACATACCATTGCAGGTAAAACAATGAAGGAAAGGCATTTTCCAAAAAAGTTCTCATCACTTTGTCCCTGTACCTGAAACCTTAATAAGCGTTCTCAGGAATATTGGTAATGATAATTGAACTGAGTAGAGTGCAATTTGGTCTGACCAATCAGATAACATATGCTTGGAAATGCCATTGAATTCACTGAAATAAATATAAATTAAAAAGAACAACAAAACAAAGTTAAAACTTTTCATCATTACATTTACCGTATATGGAATTATATGATAGAACATCTGCAACGTGCTGTGGGAATTTCAGTCGAGATGGGCAGGTCATTTATAATCCCACCATGTATACAGCAAGAACATTCCAGTAATTCATTCCCATCTTTACGTTGCTGTGGTAACCAAAGCTTAATTAGTTTTAATTTTTCGAAACGGGTGCTGTAAACAATAATACCAACTATATTGCGGCATGCAAAAACACCACATCTCCATAGATTGTTGTCTAAGCCAAGACTGAAGCAAGTTAATATGTTACAAGTTTTGACATTAATTAAACATAAGCAATCATTGTACCCCCTGCAAAGAAGGTGTTGCTCGTCAACAAATTCCAGTTCGGATCTTTCTTCCGAATAGAGAGAAAATCTGCCACGAACGTTTAGTGTAGCAACGTCTAAGACATACACTGACGTTTCCCTGTAGGAAAAACGAATTGCCAGCAACTGTCCATTAGGAGAGAAACAAGCCGTTCTTATGCCAGTTACGACTTCCGGCATGATATTGTTCAATACACATGAATTTAAATCTACACTGTTCGCATATTGTAATAAATATGTAGATTCTTTATAACGCAATAACACATGATATAGACTACTGCATGCAATCACCCTCATTTGCTCAAATTCGGCTTCACGTAATGAGGTTGAAATGCCTTCAGGAAATGGAGTATGTGCAACTATTGCTGTTTTCAAAACATTAAAGAAACAAACCTGCGACGCCATAATACAAGCAACTAAATCTTCTGAGACTGAAAGACATTCACAAGTACCAGATAATTCGGGGAAACTGGCAAGACGTTGAGTCATCCCGAAATTCCACAGCTCTGGGATGCCTACAAAGAACGTACTATCACGCATAAATAATTTCATTGAAGGGCTACGTACCTCTCTACAAGAGAACACACCATTTGTTACTGGAACAAAAATATTCATTCTTTTCCAATGGTCTTTCGCTTCGCGAAATTTAATGGATTTTACCGACAAAGGCAAACCAAGCTTCACGATGTGAAAATTAGTTTTTTCGTCGTGTATGTAAAAATATCTTCCATTCACTGATACAGAAAAAACTTTCGGAAACAAGAGAAAGAGAGACCAATTGATTCCTCGTACTTTCTTGTTTGGCTTCTGGAATAGCTCAGTTAGCCTAAACAATTTTATCTCTTTTTCGTGAATTTCAGAAACCAAAATGCTGTCATTACTAAGGATAAAAATATAACCGAAGCCTACTTTGAGAAACCACGAAAAATCATTACGTTCGTTTGCTGCTTGGATTTTAGCGGCAGCCCTCGCGTTACCTGGAAATTTCCCAACAATACGTGGCCGACCAGGGGTAACTGTTAGATCATATTTAACAATTTTGTATTCTCGGTGAAACTCGCTAGACGTCTCAAGGACGTACCAGGAATCTGAATAAAACGTTGAAACTAAAACTACAAAGTATCCGCCACAAGAACTTGATACCATGCTGTATCCATTCTCAGTATCGTAAACACATAACTCGTGAATGTTTGTTGTTCCAATAAATCTGTCATTAGCCGAGAACAAAACGGAAAATAATTCTGACCGACACGAAAGACTTACTATTTTCTTATTTTCAAGTAGATTCCAAACTGTCATATGACTGGCGTAATTTGTCACCATTTTGGTATTGTCGTGAGAAAAACAGCAACTTGTAAACTTATTGGGTATCTCTTTGCACACAATCTGCCCAGATTCAAATTTTCCTTCGAAATTAAGTACAGGGGTAAGCTGTCCGAGAAAAATAGTGTTTTCAGCAGGGTGAAAAACAATGCAGCGAGGTCGTATACGATACATTTCTCGAAGAAATGCATCGGCAGCCCTTTCTAAAACAAAATCTTCAATTTTCCAAAGAGGTTTAAAATCAGGAAGAGAAAACAACTCAATTCCTTTTGCATATCCACATATGAGAAAATCTTCTGACGGTGAAATATCAATATCTAAAACTTTGTTTTCTGTTAAAGTACGACCAATCAAAGCATTTTCAATAGTTTCCGTTTTGTCTTCCGCTTCGAAATATGCAAGACCCTTGTAGCGTGTCATTAACAAGGCAGATGCTTTCGGTGAAAGTACTTCATCATTTTCATTTACAACATGCTGCAAAAATGACTGCGGAACATCTTTTAAAATGTATGTAAACTTTCTTATTATGGAGATGAGCGTTCTTATGGTAGTTTGCGTTTCCTCGCATATTAAGCTGTTGCACATATTGTAGCTTTCTAGCCTAGAAAGATTGCTTAATGTTGTGTAAATATCACTACATACACTCGCCTGCAAAATTTCTAAATCAATGACGGTGTTTATCAATTTCGTCCAACAATCCATGTCTTTTATTTCCGCCTCTAGCATATGTTGTATTCCGTACTGCAATGCATAGACGATAGGAAGATCAAATGTTGGGTTAACTTCGTTTTGCTTTAATGTTTCCATTTGAAAAACACAAATATCAGCGAGCGTTCTATGGCCATATGTCTCCATGATTGTAAAATCGTGATTTGGTCTTACTAGCCAATCTTTCACTGATTTGTGAAAAAACGACACGGATTCATCCTTTATCATAAGGAGAGAAGAGAGGCAATTAATCAATTTCCGCAACGTTCTACCTGCAATTGACAAATCTTTGTCAGAGCTGAGTAATCTTTCAAGAAGTGCTAATGGAAGCGGTCGTTTTGAAACTGCCATTACGCTTAAAAATTTCAAAATTTGTTTTTCATCAATACCCAGATTTCTAAGTTCCTCTTCAAGGCGATTGAAATACCTATTGTAAGTCTCTTCAATACCTCCAGGTAAGTTTTCAGTGTTAGATATGATGGAGCCGTTTTCAGAAAGTTTACAAAGAAAAGATGCATAGAGCATCAGCCCTTCAGATTTTTGTACTATTTCTTGCAAAATCTCTTCTCTTAGAACATACTCAGATATGGTCGTCAATTTATTCTCAAAAAAATGTCGAAGATCTTTTAAATTCCGTTCATCATCTGGCTCTAGAAACAGGGGGTTTAATTCTTGGAAGTTACGGGCAATATCTGTTTCTGATCGGGTTGTGATTAAAAATCGAATAAATCTGGGAAATTTGTGAAAATGTTTGGTTATCAAATCAACAAGCTTCTGCTTTTCTTCCTGCCGGCATTCATCTAGCGCATCTATTACGATTAGAAAATGTTTACCTGGGTCGGGAATGTTTGAAAATGGCTCGTTAAACAAGATCGAGAACACTCCTTCGACGTTCTGGTCGTCCAACAACTGCGCTTTATTACCAAATAAGTTATTGGTAAGGTTTTGCTTATATTCGGGAATGACATGACATAGCTGCGATGCCAAGGACTGGAGGAGAAATTTTGGATTATTGTATCTACTATTATTATATTGGAAAAAATGACATGCTCCAAAATGTTCCGAGAAACGCTTACATGTAACTGCGGCGATAGTAGACTTCCCCATTCCAGCTTGACCAGAAATAATGAAGGCACGATTATTAGACGATTTGTCGTTTAGCCATTTTGATACCTGATCAAAAACCCACTCACGAGTGCCTTCAGTGTAGTTTTCGTAAAACGATTGTATTTCGTATTTAAAATCATGTTCATTAAGGCACTCACTAAGGATGTCTTTAGTGGAAGACTTGACTTGTTTTAAGGATTCATCAATTTTTTTACCCAATCGGCCTAGTTCTATCACTACTTCCTTCTCACTTTCATTCCATTCTTTTCTCACGATCTACTTCCTCCTCTCCACATTGCTCAGCCTTCAGTCTGTCTATTTCGACTTGATTTATACCCAAACTACGTAAAGTCGAACCAACCTCTACCCAATGAACCTCAAAATCTAACCTACTAACATTTGTGCCAGGGACATGACCAAAGAAATTGTTGCGAAACAGCTTAATACGAACAATATTTGCTTGACGAGAATTGTCAGTGGAACCTGGCATAGCATTCCAGCCTGTACTAGGTGGAGATAAGCCACAGATATTTCTTAACAGGATAACAAGTAATGTTATATCAAATTCTTGAATATTTGGAATTGTTGGGGGAGATGGGTACAGTTTATCCCATTGTGGTTGCGTGATTATTTTCTTTGTTTTAAACAGTGAATAAAGTGTAGGATGATGAGTAGACAAAACAGCATGCAAATTACCGGGGTGTATTGTTAAAAAGACGTTTCTCAATACCTCTGTTCCTCCATCAACAATCAACCTCATCAACTTAAAGCCATAAATCTTTTCTTCAGAACCTTCTAGAACCGACGATGCCATGACTATGCCTATAATTATTAGAATTCGGGTGAAATTTGGCATATTTGAAGATCAATGGACTACTCGCTAGTTTCTATTTAGAAATTTCGATAGTCAGCTTTGCCAGACATCGATGTTTTTTAGTCATGCATGAACATGCAGGGACTACGCTCGCCCTATTTAAATGAAATTTTGCCGAGGCATATTAAAATATTTTTTCTCTCTAACCGCTTGGCAAGCGAGGGAGGGGGTGGATGTTGGAAAATAATGTGCCGACTTGGATAATGTTAGCCTCCGGCGAAGACGTTGTTAGTGGCCGAGAACCCACCTAACGTCTGCCTTCATTTGCAACATATTCGTCTTCCCGGCAAATAAAAATCACAATTATGTACACGATAATTGAAAGATTGACCTTAACTGAACTTTGACACGCATGGAAAATCCCAAATACAAAAATATAAGCGTGGAGGGCTATTATCAACAAGTTTGTAGTATTTTTAAATGAAAGTTTTGCTGCGCATCGGAAAAATGCTTTTAATTCTATTATAAACAATAAGAAGGCTATTTGCGTAAATCTCTCAACTGCCGCAGGGAATCACTTATTTATCAAGCATTACCAAAGCTATTCGATGTAATACTTGGTGGTAAAGGAGCAGTCATTATTAATGCTGGGGGGGGGGGGGCGGAAGATATTTGGCGGTGTTATGAAGTTTTGACACTTTAGTACATTAATTTCGCTATGTTTGGGATTAGTTGATTAATAACTTTATAATTAGATGAATACTGAGAACAACATTGCCTAATATGGTCATTTATTAGTTTTAGCGTAATGATTGACATTTGGATAAAAGTAAACAATATAGGTTTTTATAGTGCATGTGAAAACAGGGCGTATTATTGTGAGACTGCGAGAAATACGAAGAGAGTTATATACGTTTTATACGCATGTTTATTGTGATTTATTGTGATTGTGGAGAACATCTGTTCAGCGGAGGGAACATTCTCTACACGTGGCACCTTCCGACCGGATCGGGTAAGTTTTAACTCGATAAATCAAATACAAACCGTATATATACAAACCGCTGTATTTTTTAAGTCACACGAGATGAAGCCTGAGGCGCTATATACGAAGCTAACGCAGCTTGAAATTACGTCCAGAGAACAGAGTTTGTGTTGACTTCTGCACGACGAGAACAAGTCAAACGGCACCTAGAAGCATTGAAAGCGATTTCACGTGAAACTGATGAATGTAAACGAGCCGTAGAACTCAAGAAAATCGCAAATAAGGAAGACTTATCCGAGATAAACAAATGGCATGACGAAATTGACGAGAAATTAAATAAAGTCGTTATCGAAATAAGTCGTCTCGAAGGGTGGCTCAACGACAAGGAGAAACATGAGAAATTTTCTGCACAAGAAGAACAGCTGAAATTCGAACTAAAGCTACACGAAACAAAGTTGAAGTTACAAACAGAATTGACAACAAATGCATCGCCAGACACGTCCAATACGACTACAATCACAGTGTCTGAGAAAACCGCCAAGCTTCCAAAATTGGTGATCTCAAAATTTAACGGATCTTATATGGATTGGCCCAGATTTTGGGGACAGTTTTCCGAAGCCGTAGACAAGAGTACCATAGCCCCTATAAGCAAGTTTACGTATTTGTGTGAATTACTTGAGCCCAGTGTGAAACGTGTAGTCGAAGCCCTTCCGTTCACTCCCGAGGGATATAACAGAGCAAAGTCCATATTAAAAGACAGGTTCGGGAAAGAATCGGAAATCGAGAAAGCATACGTGAAGGAGATATTGGAACTGCCCCACATAACACAAGTCCAAAGAAGATTGGCGAGTTTTATGAAAAATTATCTTATTCGGTGCAAGCACTGGAGACCATGAAAAGATTGGATCAAGTTTCTGGAAATGTTTCGATGACCCTCGACAAACTTCCGGCAATTAGAGGAGATTTGGTACGCACAGATCCCGATTGGGAAACCTGGGATTTCCTCAAGCTAACTGAAGCGCTACGCCAATGGGTAAGAAGAAATCCAGCTGACAAGAACGCTGAACGAGAGCGCGAGGAAAACAAACGGAAACGGGACCACCACAATAGATTGTTCCAGGCAAGAGGCGGCGATTTCAAGGTTAAGGGCTGTGTTTACTGCGGAGATGAAAACCATAAAGCTATTGAATGTAACAAAGTAACGGATATCACCGAGAGGAAAAGAATTCTGGCGCAGAAAGGATTATGTTTTAACTGTGCTACGAGAAATCACCGCGTCGCGGAATGTCCAAGCAAGACTTCGTGTCAATACTGTAAGAGACGCCATCACACCTCGTTGTGCGGACAAGCTCAAGATGGGAACGTGAAAATGGGAAATTTATGACAGATGGTAAAAGTGGTGATGCAATATTTCCCGTTGTGGTCGTAAAGGTTGATGGAATCACCTGTCGCGCACTTGTCGACTCCGGGGCTGGCAGTTCATATGCGTCGGCGAAGCTCATCGATCTCCTGAAAAAGGAACCGAGTGCGACGAAGATCCAGCGTATCGACATGCTGATGAGCTCGCGAGTTACGAGAATTGAGTCATATGACGTGGTGATCGGGTCCGTGAATGACAGTTACAAAATGGAAGTACGTGTGACAAAAGTCAACAAGGGTGAACTGTTGAGGATTGATAATGTGACATTAAGTAAAGTTAGAAGTTAAATATATATATATATAGTTATATATATATATATATATATATAAAAGTTTTCTTTTAAACGTTTCCTTTGGCATCTGATATTGGTCGCGATATAGACAGTTCAAAATCACTTCTAACGGATAATACATTGACCTAAAATGAGCAATTGCTTTGAATTACAAAAGAACAAACTCATCTGGAATGGCGACTTAAGCGAATTAAAGTCCTACGTCGCAGAAAAGTTAAACATAAATGGTAAATGGAAATCACCGTCAGGTGGACGCTGGTTATTTACTAGCGATGCTTTGTCTATAACCTGGTATTGTAAAAGCAAAACTGTCTTATTTCAAGGTCCTCGTGGCAGCGAAGTGGCTGACTCTTTGAAGAAAAATATCGATGCATCGCGAATTGCAATAGTGAAAGATGCCGAGCTAATCATTGCTACCCCTGCTGTTTCCGAAAGACGGAATGAATCTATCGATAATCAGTGTAGTCTCAGTATTAACAATTCTAACTCGAACATGTTTGACAGATCTAGTAATACAACAACAACTATCAACCGAAGCGACTCGGATGCTAGCGAAGGAAAAGCAAATGAGCAAGAAATGTGTTCACACAAGCAGAACGAAGGCGATTATATAATGAATTGCAAAGACTGTAGTAAATTATCTGTAGAAGTAGCAGAAATTAAATTGGACTTGGCATTATTATTCCTAAAAGTTAATACTGCTGAAGCTCCCGCTACATGTGAATGCAATCGGCTACGAAACGAAAATCAGCTATTGAAACAAGAAATTAAATTACTCAAGGAAACACTGCACGGCATGGAATTGTCAAAATCGCCAATTAACATTGCTATCGATAATATGAATAATCAACCAACCATCACTGACAATGACTCTGTTATACTAATTGATATAGAAGAATCTGAAGTTAACGTAAACACTAATATGAATAATTTACCATCTGCGACATACAAAGAGAAACAATATAATACCCGAGGGCCAGTTGTTAATGACTCTCTTATGAAATATAGAAATCCCAATAAACCAGTCGTGCAAGACTCCCTGACCCCATTCGACCATCTCCTAAAAGAAAAGGCCGCCTTAAACGCCAACATGCATCGTCATAAGAGGAATCAAGTGCATAATTCTCCAACTAACAGAACGCATTTCTCGAAACCTAATTACCGGCGCAATCAGGCCGCCTTAAACGCCAACATGGATCGTCATAGAAGGAATCCAATGCATAATTCCTCAACTAACAGAACGCATTTCTCGAAACCTAATTACCGGCGCAATCAGTTTTCCGAGCCTAAACATCAATATCGTCAAGCAAATTTTCCCTCAAAGATTTTTCGAAGCGGTCGCTATCGGTGGATTCCGAAACCAAGAACAACAGCAGACTATACAGATACAAGAGCAAGTCAAATCAAATCAACCCGGCATACAAAGTGAATCCTTTCCAATCAAAGTCAGAATTACAGCTTGGAGAAACGGAGTCCTGGGAAGCTTACCTACAGCTGGTCAACCGCACCTTGGACCAGTTTGGAACCCTCGTTTAGGCGCAATCCAACGGACAAGTGATAATTATACATCTCAGAGAAGTGTAAATTTTAATAATTTAATTAACATTAAGACTAATACAAACCCCACCATTGGAAAGTCCTCAGTCCCGTCCTTCCTCTTGTCAAATGTATGCCATATAACAAATAAGGTAGACGAATTAGCTGCTGTTGTATCGATCTATGACCCATCCGTGGTAATGATAACTGAATCCTGGCTAAGTGATGATATCGGTGATTCCTCGGTTAAGATCGGTAATAAATACAACATATTTCGTCGCGATAGAAAGTCTCCTGGCGGTGGAGTGATCGCCTACGTGAATAATTGTTTACCAGCAGAGCGTATGACTCACCTCGAAGAAGAAAACAAAGAAGTGATATGGTTGTTGTTAAAACCCCCAAGAACCCCTAGACCTTACAGTACAATCGTTGCTGCTGTTGTGTACTACCCTCCTGGTCAATCCGCCGAACAAGCAACCGATATGAATGAATACTTAACTACTTGTATAGATAGTCTCTTGCGCGAACGTCCTTCATCTGGAATTGTTATAGCTGGGGACTTCAATCAACTAAAATTAAGAGAACTATGTAACAGATTTAATTTAAAAAGATCCGTAACTAAACCGACTAGAGGACACAACATTCTTGATCAAATCCTTACAAATATGCTCCCTCTCTTTGACACTGTTAGCCATCTCCCCCCAATCGGACGCTCCGACCACCAATGTCTTCTAATCAAGCCCATTAAAAGACAGAAAACTCCGGTTACGTCAAAAAAAATTAGATTGATGAAACGAGCAAATTTAAATGACCTCTCCCTGAATATGGCTTCTGAAGATTGGACTACTGTATATTCAGCACTGGATGTGGATGAGAAAGTATCAGCTTATAACTCCATTATAATCAAGATGCTTGACGAGTTCTTACCTGAAAAAACCATCAGAGTACATCACTCTGATAAACCGTGGATCACCGGTAATACTAGAAATACATGCATGCAGTGACCCCTCGCCTTGCTAACCAAACCACTATATAAAGCAAAATTGAAGTATCAGCAGTAGTTGTGGTTGGACAACATATTTTTGATTCAAAATTGTATGAAGAAAATAAAAGACCATTACTTTTAACTTTTCACAAATGAAAGTTAAGCCGCAGCCCATCCATGGTCAGGCATATGTGGGGCATTTGATTTTTCATTAAATTATTTGGTTAAATTCCCTACCATGGGAAAAGAGATATCATGCAGTCAATGTCTAACTCACAGAATACTACACAGAAGTCTATGTCCATTGGTTTTCTTGCATAAGCGCAAGTACTCGATGATTGTAAAACTTCCAAATCCTTAATTTCAAATGCCCCACCCCCGGCAAAGGTTTGAGTTCAAATGCCCAAGCCCCGGACATGCTTTACAGGAAAATGGCCCGGGGTTGGGCACGCTTGGATTTGACCGATGCATTAAAAGTCATGGAAGTCTGTGCACTTGCTAGAATAAGAAGTATATTTACTAGACAGTAAATACCAATAAACAGTAAATAGTAGACAGTAAATACCAATAAACAGAAATGTATTTAATTTATATCATAGTATTTATACAATTTCATTTTTATACTATAAAAAATATATAAACATGCAGTCACAGATATGCAAAATGTTAACTTGGCTTTATTTATAGAGTTAGCAAATAGCAATAAAAGTTACCTTGTCTTCACATCGCTTTATACTGTAAGTCAATGCTTTAAATTTACATATTTTAGAATCAGTTCATTTCCTCGTATTAAACTGCATGTATTTCTCATGAAATCATTGTGAGTACCGAGCGGGTTTACTATAAACGAACAGTAGGAATTTATAACATCTTTGAATGATCGTTGTACATTCGGACACAGTCGGAAAAATGTTGATGGTATCAATGTTGTACCGTCGCTTGCAACTAACGATGAACGGTTGCTCATAAAAACATTACATATATTTGCGTGAGAATCTTCAATGTTTGTCATGAGCAACAACACTTAGTTGACATGTTTTAATCTGATCAGCCAATATAACGTTCAAGTAGCTACAAGCTTGGTTGGCTTTGAAACCATGAAATGATCATCACAAACTTTGAACTTTTTCAGTAAAAACATCGAACTTTGTGATGAGAATAGACAATGTATTATCTGCAACTGTTCACCCTTAGTTGCAAGCGACGGTATTTGTAACCACGGGGTTATGGCAGTTACTGTAAGCCAGCATGAAATTGCCTGTGACATTGTTAATATTACTGACTTGAACTTGTATGACAAACACTTTATTGGAAAATTGTAAAGAAACAGAGGATGGAATATACTTGTACAGCTATCATTGGTATATAGCGTTGTGAAGACAAACCACCAGGTACAGTACCTTTTACACATTTGTAATTTTTATTTTATAATGAACGAATAAAGTATATTTATAGAGCTATTATTATATAGAACATGGGTCATGGTCATGATAGTATGATCATGATAGTGCAGTTTCATGTATAAAGTAATAACAACACAAACTATCAAGGGGGCTGGTTGTATGAAGCGGGCTATCTGCTAATTTATGTCAAGAAAATATATCCTTTGACCCAAAGCCGAAAGGAAAATCTTGATTAACTAAAAGACCAGTTTACACTTAATCTGAACCAAATATTTTTATCAACTTTTTTGAGAAAATCTTGAAGGCAAAACAGAGAAGAAAGTAATCGACCTGGTGAGATGGCTGCATGGGCTAGCTTTTCCATATAAACAGCCCTAATATATCAATTTAATAAATTTAACTGAAAAATAAACTAAGTTTAACTGTCAAATTTAGCCGTTATTACTGTAAACAATTTTAACAATTGCAGATTTGATATAGTAACAATATAAAATTACATTGTTAATTTATCAAATCTGCAATGGTTAAAAACAACTGGCCGTCCCTTCCCCTCTTTTGAACCATGCCTTTGGGGGCACTTGATCCTGGCATGCCCCCGTTCACCGCACAACCAGCATACTATGCCTATATTTGAAAATATAAAATTCTAGTATGTAGTATTATTAACCCATTGAGTGGCAGCACTCTCCACTTGACAAGTAAAATCATCTGGCGTTAGACAGAGCAAAATCGTCTGGCATTAGACAGAGTAAAATACTAAAGTATGGCTAATGAGGGTGGATTGCCTCTTAAAAGATTAACCTGTCAAGTGGAAATCAGGCCTCGAATTTCCCTGAAATCAATCGACGGCAATGGCGTTAAAAATTGCCGTAGAACGTAACAGCTGTCTACGCCAATTTTGGCAGTTTCCACGGCATTTTTTCAAATTACTGTAACAAAAATTTAATTTTATTGTTAATATAGTAATTTAGTGAATAGTATAAAAATTATACTATACGGCAAAAAATTGCTGTCGTTTCCGCAATGATCCACGGCATTTTGTACTCCCTCTACGGCAATTGCCGCGATAAAATTCGAGCCCTGGTGGAAATACACCAATATGCACTCAATTTTGTTATTCTATTATGTATAATACCAGACAATTTTATTTGTCATCGGGAGAGTGTTGCCACTCAATGGGTTAGTCTGTTATTGGGTCCTACAGCATTTATTTGAAAGAATAAGTTAAGGCTGTTATTTCTATGGACATTTTTCGAGGGTTGCTGTTGCCTTCAATATGTTCACTGTACTCAAAATAGATCCTACTTCGAGCAATTTTTCAACATGGTGTCGTATATAATTTAAAAAATATTTATTTTTAAATGAAACAATGCTGGAAATTGGATTTGCACAGTTTGACTTCATCAGGCAAGTGCAACTGTACAACTCTTTTACATTGTTTAACCCATTGAGTCGCATTGCACCCGGATGCACCCTACGTTAGTATTTTACTCTGTCTAACGACAGACGATTTTACTCGTCAATGGGAGAGCGCTGGCGCTTAATGGGTTAATGTTCTATATATGCAGAATAATATTATAATTGTGCTTATTTTTTGTATTTTCCAGGAACATTGTCGAAGAAACATTCATTTTCCAACATACAATAATTATTAAAATTTATTGTAAAGTTAATTGGTCCAATATTTTTGACTACTGTAATATCACAGGACTATTATCATATTTGTAGTTTTAGTAAAGTACATACGTGAACGGCATGCCACAGCATAATGGCCACGGAGGCCACACTTATAGCAACGTCCTAAATTTAAAGAAAATACAATCAGTTTTCAAGAATATTCATTTAGGTTACAGTACATACTGGAAGTGCACTCACTAAGATGTTGATAAAATACAGATGTTAACAAAATATACAGTACTTACCATTGCCCATTCTCCTTGCTTGATTTTCTAAATTAGAAAAATAGAATCGAAAGAAGTTTAATTTTCCAAAGTTCTGAAGTAAACAAATGTGAAGTTCTACTATATATATAGACGAAAACAATGTGCTAAAGTTTGACCCAGAGCTAGTGCTAATCGTGCGTTCAATAACAGTCCTCAGTACTTAGTGTATAAATCTATTTCAAGAACTATACCGTCACGACGGTGTGGGTGTCGTCCATGATTAACTGTAATGAAAGAATGTTGATTAGTTTGAATTACACAAGAGAGGTATGTATAATTAAACTTTATAAAGAATGTACTATTACCATGCCGTGGACGTTGTTGTCGTTCTTGAACTGAAAAAAATAGTACTAACTGTAGTTAGACCAAATTACATATTACAGATATAGGTATGTAAGTATATCAACATTAGAACCATACCATTTGCATCTTCTTGTCGAGGTTGTTCATTCACTGAAATAAAATCATGCACCTTATTGTAGAAGTAATAATAATATAATTATAAGTATGATTGAACCATACTGAACATATTCTTTTATAAGATTAACTTACATGGCTGGACTTCCCCTTCATCCTCTTCGACCTCACTTTCTATAGTTAATTAGAAAAAAAATGTTGCAAATATTCATAAGAAATCTGTAATATACTTAATCTGTAATATAGCCTGCGAACAGGCTCTCAAGCTGAATTGAGAGCCTGCATCGATGACTAATGAATTTGAATATCTGCGTCTCAAATCGTGACGCGAAATTGTCATTGGTCAGATGCTTTAATTTATATTATTCCGCTGAGCTCTATATATGTCAACTGCTAGCACTATGCATAAAAAAAAACACATTAACTGATCAAATTGGTCTTGGCCATCTTATCTCCAAAGCACGAAATGTTCTGTTTTGAGAAAACAGTATTTAAAACATTTCAACTTTTGCTTCAATATCTTATATTTCAAAAAACAGTATAAACTGTACGGTCTAAATTTAGTTTGCATGGTCTAAATTTAGTTTGCACGAAAGTTGTAAACAACACCATATAAGGATAGACATTCCATATTTGGAAAAACGAACGTTACTGGGCAGATATTCAAATTCATTAGTCATCGATGCAGGCTCTCAATTCAGCTTGAGAGCCTGTTCGCAGGCTATCTGTAATATATTGTACATAATATATTCTTAATTATCAATCATTACTATATTATTGTAGAAAACATTCACAACTCTACCATGGAGAAAATAATTGAAAGTTAATCCTTTCTTGTCAATTGAGTACATCAGATTTTATTATTTCTCAAACAGAATGACCTACATGTAGCTGTAAGAATTTGTGTTTTAAATATATAACTGAATTCTTACCATCGTCAACATGAACGTCTAAAATAAAAGATGTTGTGTTAGAAGGTTAAAGATGAGGTTACTGTGTCACATGCATGATATTGCAAATTGATAATCCGTAGAATGTTATAACGATGCTCTGTAAAATGAAATTGTCAGTATACACTTTATTACATGTAGCTACTGTAGGAGAGGACAATCTACAACTACTGTACATGCATGGTACTCACTGGGTAATTGGATTGAATTTTAACATGTTTACATGAGAAAATATTTCATTGTGGCTGGCCAAGAGGGTTTTCGCTGAGCAATTGGTCACAATTAACTTTACCTCTGCATGGTCACTGAAATATTGGTCACAAAAATATACCTCGAGGTCACAAAAATATACCTCAAGGTCACAAATATACTTCAGTCTGTACAACTGTAGCCAAACAATTGGTGACAACTGGCCTCTGTTCACACAATTTACTATTAGTTGTAAGTCCATTTAATTTTATGTGAGGTCCAACCAGCTAGAACAAATGTTGCTTTATATAAAACCAAAAAGTAGATACAGTATTATACCACATATTTATTGCAATGTACATACCAAGAATAGCAGGGTTGTCCAGTTCAGGTAATTCCACTAAAATGAAATAGTTATAATATAGGGATTAGTTATAATATAGGGATTAGTTATGAAATAGCTAAGTTTATAAGTCCAAGCTATACCTATATGTTCAACCTGGATGCCTCTTTTAATATGGTTTTATTCGCTCATTCAAAAAATTGAAGCAACTTACTTTTGTGTTTGTTAAATCTTTGCTATAATTATAAAAGAAAATATTAAAGGAAATCATTAATAAAATACAACATCTCCACTCCCAGTGCATATTAAAACTAATATTGAATACATTTCCATCTTTTATATTGAACAGGAATGTTTTTGGCCATGAAGCAAAGGCTGTTTAACATCAGCTAAGAAGCATACTATAAATAATTTTAAAATATAGTCATACCTTTCCGCCAAATTATTTGAAATATCTGTAGAAAACAAAAAAAAACTGTTAAAAACACGAAAACTTTTTTGTTGTGACAAACTCAGTAAATGAAGTTATTTTTGCCCAAAACATATATATTCCACAAATAGTAGTGTAATTATTTTTCGTTCAAAGATACAGTGTATGTTCAAAAAACTTAACACATTTTAAAGTTGTTTTTTTTTCGGAAAAAAACTTACTGTCAGTTACTGCCTAACAAAAAAGCCAAAAAACCAAAATTTCGCGCGCTTCGTATTTACGTGGATGTTGCGTGTGAATTTTCGGTAACCATAGTAACACACGCAATATCCACGAAGAGTGATCTGGAGTGTCTTGAATACTTTTCTGGGGCCAGTTGTTCAAAACTGGTTTAGCTTAAACCCCAGCTTAACCTAAAATTCAAAGCAAACTTCCTCACAGCTTATCTATGGAAATTTGGAAATATTTTTCCAGATATCTTGTCTGGATCTAAGGAGTTTACTTCTCTGAAGTTTTGAAATAAACATGCGTGCAGAAATACATAAACTAAAACAGAAGGTTAAATTTTAACCCAGGGTTAGCGCTAACCCACCGTTGAACAACCGGCCCCTGAGTTCCGTTGTACGAAGGTCAGATATAGGGCTATCCACCGGATAGTGATTTTTTCAAACTTTATAAAATGCTTGAAAAACTGTGAAACTATGGATAGAGACGACACACAAGTGAGAAGAAGTATGAAAAACATTTAATTTATAAATACTAAACTTTAATACGAGTTATATCAATCAACGACTGATTTAACAAAGCTTGAATAACCACTATCCGGTGGATAGCGCTATCCGGCCTTCGTTTAATTAACCTGAGTATCAGGCCGTACTTTTTAGGGCACAGGCACGCCTGATCGTGGGCGAAGGGGAGAAAAGTACGGCCTGACACAAAAGTGGCATTTTGCCTGGTTGTTCAGTCCAGAATCTGGACTGAGCGCTTATTGGCCGATTAGACAAACGATTTTTAAATCTATCATTTGATTGGCTGGTGCTAATTAGATTATACTATTGTTGTTGATATATTTTATAACGATCACAATTCACAACTACAATTATAGCCGGCCCACGAAACGGCTGAATTTAAATTAAAACTGCAGTAAAATTAGAAAATAATCGCAAATTAGCGAAATATATTGCAAATGTAGCTTATATTAAATCGCCATCAGATTGCACTATCGACTGACGTATAGTTATAAAGTATACTTTATAATTATACGTCAGTTTGTTGATAAATACGGCAAGCGCCATGTAAAGCTCATTGTAGTCACTGAAACCTCTGGCTCTGCGGAGGAGAGAGCAATCGGGTGGCGATTTAATATAAGCTACATTTGCAATATATTTCGCTAATTTGTGATTATTTTTGTTAATTTTATAAGTTCATTGCAGTTTTAATTTAAATTCAGCCGTTTAGTGAGCGCCTATGCTATAATAAGATTGTTGTTGTCGTTGTGTGAAATTTAAATTTCTCTTGCGACATTTTGATTGGATACTAAATATAAACTTTGCTGTGGGCGGAAAGCGATCAGGTTAAGTTTTGTGTCAGGCTCTATTTGTAAAATAGAGCCTGATACTCAGGTTATCGTTTAATAGGCTTCGTACAACCGGTCCCTGTAGTCTTGATCTGAAGGGAACTGTTTTATCAATAGAATAGTTACTTAAAACAGGAGAAAAATCTTACCTTTATATGAATTTGGTTCAATTTCTAGAGATATAAAATATTATGTAGAAGAAAAAGACAAAGTTTTAAATTTATAGTATATATACGTAATAATACTATTTAATATTAAGCACAGGTATGTCAACATGCAGCCAACCTCAAAAACATAATACATTATGTCTAGGTAACAGGCAATGACAAACTCCCTGAATGCCTTCCTCAAAAACACAATAATAGAGGCATAGACTACACCTTTAAAATTGTGCCTAGTAACAGGAGAAATAACCTCGAAAGCACAGTATATGTGCCCAGTATACTATGCTGGTGCTTGAACACCACAACTCTTCAATTTAATATGACAACTCATGACCTATTATATGTTTGGACAGTTTTCTCTGCAAGCACTTTAAGTCGCCGTTCAGCTTCGAGTCGTTTTTGCATATTTTTACTCCTACCAATTGCTTTCAGGCGATCAAATGTCATAGGTTCAAATACAATATCATGAATCGATCTCACCCGTGCTGTAGCTACAAATGTGCATCCAGCAACTTTTTCTCCTTTACCTAAATCAACAACAGCTTTTGTTAGTGTCTGTCCTTGTGACTTATGAATAGTCATTGCATACCTCAACCGCAAAGGCACTTGTTGCCTTGACAGATACTTTCCATCAGCCACCCATTCAAACACTTTGGGTGGCACAGGTATACATTTAGAACATGCATCTAGGAATGCAGGACCAGTGTAACTATGGAAGTGTACCAATACTGCTATTGGCAGGTTTGGTGGACCCATATTCTCTGCAAACCAAATCTGCTCAATAGTGCCAAATGATCCATTGCAGAGACCAACTTCAGCCCACAGGTTGCAAGTGAGCATTACTTCTGCTTTTGTGGATAAAAACAGAACAGCATCCAATCCACCAGCTTCGTCCGATGTTGCCGCACTGGCACCATGACCAGAATGCTTTGCCTGAATTTTAGCAACAGGTTGTCCAAGCTGCAATAGCTTCTCGTAATTGTATTCAGCAACACTTTTCTTGTCAAAGTACAATCGGATGGCATCAGTAAATTGATCCATTGGTACACTTGTTGTTGAATGCTCCAATAATAGTTTCCAGTCCTCCCCTGTCACTTCTCCATTTCGCATTCTCATCAGCAAGGCTCTAAAAGCAACTGCCTCAGGGTCCTCACCAGCCTGACGCATAACTTGATCTAAAATAATGACAGACTCAAACATCAGATACAAACTATGTCCATGGTCACTTACTACAGTACCATTACCTGAAACATACATTGGCTTATCACCAACAGGAGGTAATTGACCAAAATCCCCCATTAGAATTATTGACATACCACCAAAAGGGATATCTTCCTTTCCAGTACCAGCACGTAATCTATTGTCAAGCCATGATAGCATTTTATGTCCAATCATTGACATTTCATCAATAATCAGAAATCTTTTACCTTCCAGCCTCAGCTGTAACCGCTGTAGTGAATCACCCTGCAAATCCCTACATTCACGGATAGGAAGTTGAGCAGCAGAATGTAATGTTTGACCATTAATACTAAAGGCTGCAATCCCAGTAGTTGCTGTAACAACACACTGAGTGGCTAATACTTGTTTTGTTGCACTTATTAAGTATGTCTTACCTGTGCCAGCTGTTCCACACACAATCATATAAACAGGCTTGGCATTATCACCATTCTGAGATGTGATGATGTCATAAGCAAGGCGTTGTTTTTCATTCAAGGTCTCCGGATCAATTACACATTGTTGATCATCTTCTCGAAAATGCTGACCATGTTCTTCAGCCTCCTTTCTTTGACTATAAATCCATCCTGGAGATTCCTTTAACAAATCTCTAGGCACAGCTCTTACCGTTTCAAACCAGTCCACTGCTTCATTGTCTGACATCCGATTCCCTGCTTCACCATAATCTTTGTTAATTTTGCATAACAACATCCAATCATCGACTTCCTCCTCATCATCAGGGTCAACTTCACTTTCGTCGTCATCATCTTGATTGTCACTTGGATCGTTTTCAAAGGTTTGACCACATTGCGCATCATGAACTCTGTCTGTTTCATCGGAATACCTAAACACATTTTCTTCCGCAAATTCATCTGTCATAAGAAAAAATTCATATGCATTAATAAACATTTGATCACTTTCATCCTCGTTGTTCCAAGCATTTGATGGTTGACCCTCCCATGGTTTAAACTTTATTAGTTGATATTTGCAGTATTTACCAAAATCAGGACCAGCAGGATTAGCGGAAATCTTTGGAAATGTCCTGACAATGTACGGATTCGCTCGTTTTGACAACTCACCTCGGACTTTCGTGTACTCTGACACATATTGCATCAGATTTAGCTGAGACAAGCCTGTATACCTACTCTTCAATTTTGTACGTTCTGCATATTCTTGTAGCGCAGATTTTTGAAGTACCTCATCGCCTTCATTTTCTGCATCAATATTAACCTTCCTGCTGTTATCTAAAGAAATAGTAACAAAACTAAATGTGCAGCCAATCAGTGGTAGACTAAGTAGCATGTGCGCAGTTTCTTGTGCTGCCATATCTCTATCCCCAGCAACTTGGATCATTGCTTTCTTGAAGGCCGAAGAGACTTGATCATCATTCTGTAATGAGGACACAGACAATTTTAGTATTTCTGATGCTGATTTCGATCGGGGTTCTCCTTTCGCAGCATACTTGGCCATGTATCTTGCACAAGCTTTCTCATCTACAATGACTTGCAAATCTACATTAGCCCGCCAGTTTTCGAGCATCACCCTGTTATGTGAATTTAACCTTTGATCATTTCGTTTGGTGTGTAACTAGACTCAACAGACTTAGTATTCTTACCCACCACTAGCTCAAGACTCAGTTCTGTTTCTTCCTGTAATGGCTTTGGAAAACCAAATCTGCATTCTGCAAGCAGGTCCACTCTTTTCTGTTTCAAACAATATGCTGGACTGCATCTAGTGTGTCGTTCTACAGTATTAACTAACCTGTGATAATCATTGTCACGATTATCCACTGTTGTAGCGCTAACAGCAGATGGGTGAGGGTCTGGTATCCTCCAGTTTTCATCTGGCAATTCCTCATTAAAAGTTGTCACCAGCCAGTCAACATACCTTTAAAATAATCATAACTTATTATTAAACATGTGCGCTTTTTCTATTAGCCAAATGTTACCGAATTAGTCATAAAACAGTTTTAATCACACCATTGACTGAGTGAAACATTTTCCTGTGAAACCTGTATGACCACAGTTAAATTTCCACTTTCTATTTATGTAATTTCTTACATTCCAATGAAATCTTCAGAAATTATTGAAAATTCCTTTGAGGAAAATTGAAACCTTTTAAGGAATTTTATAAGGAATTTTTGTTTACATGTAAAATATTGTTACTTTTTCAATTTTAATGTAGCAAAGTAAATGTCGTTAATACTACTTAACCGTATTATAATATAATAAAATATGCATAATAATCAAAAAGATGGGCGAAAGACCTTTCAAAATTGTGGAGATTGGCTATCTGCATATATTATTAGCTGGATATTTGGTGAGTGTTTTGTGTATTAAGGCAGATTTACACTACACAACTTTTGCCTTATGCAACCTGCTTGTACAACTTGAGTTTTACTGTGTAAATTATCAAGGACACAAGTTGACGCTGTTATTCACTGTATTAAACTTGCATTTACTCACTTACGTTGTCATAGGCATAGTTGTGTGCTGGTTCACCCAGTACACTCAAGTTGTATACATGCATATAAGCAGGTTGTATGCGACAATTTTAGGCAAAAGTTGTGTACAGTAGTTTATCCTGCCTTTTAATTTACAGTAGTAGTCATATTATTAAATATCCAAAATAGGCAGCAGTGGTTAATACATGCATAATACAAAATTCGCTTTTTACAGTAGTTGACATGAATATTTGACCTGCACTATGAGAAGCGAGTCCGGTATTGTGTAACTACTGCAGCAATAATTATGATCCGGTATTGTGCCGGTACATGCATTTGAAGGCCTGTTGCAGGATAAAATTTTATTATTGAAACAATTATCCCACAACAGATTCTGCACCGTTAGCTTGATCTATGTACAGTACACATTGGAAACATTAATATGGAAAATATTTTTTCTTACTGTATTAACAACTTCTCAGCATCTTCTCCCTGTCTTATCACATCCCCGCAAAGGAATTCAAAATCATCAGGTGACATTACGTACCTTGTTGTCTCACTCTCTAGGAATGCAACACATGCTTTATTACGTAATTTTCGAATATCAGGGTAATTTTTTAACTTTGCACATCCATGGCAATGAATACTTCCCCCAGCTTGGTACTCAAATCGATACCAGTGCCACTCAGCATCCAAGACGCCATTAAGCCAATGTCTGACAAATTCCTGCAGCCGCTGCATAAAGAACCAATCAGTCAGATGGGGATTGTCGATTACAGCTTGTGCTCGCTCAGATCTGCTTGCACCTTCATCATTCTGCAATAGCTTCTGTAAGTCTGGCCAATGCATGTCAGCTGCACTAAAGGTAAAGAAAAAAGTAGGGCAGCCTTTTTGTTCAATCAGGGCCAGCAATTCCTGCAGCCACTGATACCAATACTGATTCGTACCTTGTACTTTGGACACATAGCGCTGCAACCTATTTACCATTTGATTTGCACTCATGGAATTGACCATCTGCTTCAGTTCTTCCATTGTCATGTTTGCATCAGCAGGATGTTGACGCAAGTAAACGTTTGCTTGTGACAACAGCTGATGCCGTTGTTTCATATTTAACGCCCAATAAGGAAACCGTGGGTGAGAAGCAAACCTCCATTCAAACTTACCATCTGCAAGCGACTCTGCAAACTTCATTAAATGTTTGAAAGCTTCGGTTAACGTTATACCATGTTGTCTTGCCCTATTTGTTGGGTCACCCTTCCCATAAGGAAACAATGTAGGAAAGGCCATAGTAGCTAAACCATCTGTTTTAAATTCATTAATGAGATTACCTTCAGTAGATGGCCAGTCTAACGGATCAACCTCATTTACTGCATCTTGGATAGCCGCACCTTCTTTTCTCTGTCTTTGACGCATAGGAATAAATGATGTACTGCCACTTCCTAAAACTAACTCTTCCACACTTGCATTAGCACTCATTACTGGGTCTTGGGGAGGCCCCTCATTTTCAACATGAACTGAAAGCTCATTTTCATCAATGACATACCTTAGCTCATCAGGAATACCATTTTCTGGTAAACTTTGGATGACATCTCTATCAATTTCAATATCTTTAAAGAATGGATTGTTTGTCTTTAACCATAACACAGCCTCGAGAACTTTGTGTCGACGCACAGTAAAGTCTCGATGTGTGTCTTCTGCACCATGTCTTCGCACAATCAAGACAGGCAAGTCTGCCACATGAGAAGGCAACCTATTTTTGAATATCTTGAGGTAAGTTAAGTACATTCCCTTTATACCCCCTCTGACCACCATGTTTTCTATACACTCTCATAATGGGACAAACCCTTGAAATTAACATTTCTTCTACCTGTGTCAAACCTCTCAATTGTTCAGGAACTGTTCCTGGGTCCATGTCATTGTCAGCACTAAATTTCTTGGGTGATTTCTTGTCTCTTTTACACCGGTAACAAATGAATACTTCTGATGCCAAGTTCTGGCGTGTCGGCCAAGCTTCTTTACATATTGTACATTGTCGATGCTCTAAATGTTCTTGATCTAAATGAAAACTGTGCATTTCATTTTGTACAAACTCTAGCTCATGCAGAGGGTTGTCAACATTTTGCCAACCACCCTCATGTAAATATTCATTTTTACTCACCCCTGGCCCCTCTGCTTCATGTACAGACACACTATCCTCGTCTGCTTTAGGAACAGATACAGGTATATCTACATTTGGATCAACAGACATACTCAACTGCTCATTTGATTCTTGGTCATTTTCGTTTGAACTTGCTGTGTGAAAAACTGCTCGTAGTATTTCAAGTATCCTTGCTCGTTCATCAACTGTTTCAGTTGCTTGGTCTTGCTTTCTCTTTTGTAGCCTGTTTGTTCGTTCTTCTTCAGTCTCATTTTGCACTTTATCTAAATTATACACTCTCCTATACTCTTTTCGCTTACCTTTAGCTTCTGTAGTCCTTTCTTGCCACGCTTCTCTTCGTTTTTCCAAGCGAGTTTCTCTTCCCTCGGCACTTTCTGCAACTTCTTTCTGTTGCCTATAAACTCTCTTATACTCTCTTTGCTTACCTTTTGCTTCGGCAGTCTTTTTTTTCCATGCTTCTCTGCGCTTTCCCAGGCGAGTTTCTCTTTCCTCAGCAGTCTCCTCGAGCAAACGTTGTCGTCTTCGCTCCCTTCTTTTCGCCAGGCGTTCGGCTTTCTTGTCGTTTACTTGCCGCCCTTCATTCGGCTCCATATTTTTTCAATTGGTATATAATACCGTGAACTTTTAATATAACAAATTGCTTTTAAAGTTCTCAAAAGTTTTTGCAAACGTACAAAAACTGTTGTGCAAAAAGCAAATTAATATTTTTATGAAGTATCTGTCAGTTGAAGTCGTCATTTTTTCATACAACAACAAATTTTAAATTTGACCAATCAGTGTTCGCTATTCATGACAGTCCGCCATATATTTGAGATCAGTGAGGATGACCACCCACGGTTGGTCACCCACGCCCGCGATATTTGATGAACTTTAGACTCCGCTAATGCTTTCGTTTCCCCGGGTGTAAATAGCCGGGGGGAATTAGTACCCTCGCACGGCGCTTCGCGCCGCCGGCTCGGGGATGAGTTTTTCCCTTTGTTTCCTTAAAGAGCGAAAATTCTACAACTTTATCCGGCGACATCAACAAGACAACAACCGAGGTACCCGGACATTTTGCCGAAAGACATTTTGCCGAAAGACATTTTGCCGAAAGACATTTTGCCGAAAGACATTTTGCCGAATGGACACTTTGCCGACGGACGTTTTGCCGAACGGACGTTTTGCCGAACGGACGTTTTGCCGAACGGACGTTTTGCCGAACGGACATTTTGCCGAAAATATAGATGTTATTTCGTCAAACTGTTTGGGACTGTGACTTGTTTCTCAACAGTGTAATTATTAACCATTGAGTAAAATAACCATTATATGGTCATCAGCATTGCGTAATGGTCGTTAGCGGTGCATAACTATATTGACTATATATTGGTAGCTTGTAATTTGTGCACTGGATCACTCATTTGCTAGGCCTAGGAACGTGTTTCGACGTCAGGTCGTAAACAAACAAGTGTATATAAAGACAACGACGTAAGCGAATTTCACTTCGAGAATCATGGAATACACTCACAGTTCTCGGGGAAATCGCATTCATGAATAGTATGAATGATGTTGAATGATGTTATTCTTTTATATATATCGCGAAATTTCGGTAAACTTGAAAGAATTCGAATATAAAACCAAACTATACTTCACTATGAAAGTTCCGGTCATCAAAATCGACAATAACTTTAATTTAATTAATCACAGAAACTTTGACCGTATAATAAGCGAACCTTTAATGTTCAGAAGATATCTCTATTTTCGGCAAGTTGTCTGTTCGTCAAACCGTCCGTTCGGCAAACTGTCCGTTCGGCGAAATGTCCGTTCGGCAAAACGTCCGTTCGGCAACACGTCCGTCGGTAAAATGTCCGTTGGGCAAAATGTTTTTCGGCAAAATGTCTTTCGGCAAAGTGACTTTCGGCAAAATGTCCGGCCACCACAACCGATGTCAGTGTAAAATTGTCATTGAAAAAAGTGTGCCACTGTCAACACAATGCCACTAATTAGTAAACACGATCAATGTGGAAAATGGATCTTCGAACAATACACTGATTCCATCCCTGATTAACTTGATAGGTACATTAGATGACTGTCTTGACACAGCATCATGCTCTCGTGTCGAATTGGAACGTTTTATTAATTTTGTTAATAATTTACATACTATTTTCCTCCTTACGCACCACACACCAGCCACAACAACAGGTCGATTTCCTTCTCTCAGTTCGTTCGCCTTCGCCCCATTTACAGTAAAGAGGAAGAGGTCCAAGCGAAAAGTGTGGAAATGAGGCAATTTTTTGTCCAATGTGGCTATCCACATCTCTTTTAGAAACTGCTTTTCGAAGGCCTCCCAAATTTCCCAATCTGAGCCCCTCACCGAGCATGCGTCCAATGTCACAGGTAACAACAGAATCCCTCTAGTATTAACTTACCATCCTTTCAATATCTAAGTTAGAGATGTCTTTAGGAAGAATTTCCATATTTTGAAAAACGACACGGAAACATATTCCATTTTCTCCGATAACCCCTTAGTCTCATTTTCTCACAGCCAAGGTATCCGTGAAACCCTAGTTCATAGATCCCTATCACAGGATTCGGCATGACAGAATGCATGGCACGTTTCCTTGCCGGGTTGCCAAATGAAAAACTTGTGACTTTATAAATTCTGCCACCACCATTTCAAAATCAAAATCTCAATCAATGAATTAACCAGTCAAAGCATTTATTTTCACACGATAGAAAATTACAGAAAAGTTGATGTGGTATTGCATAGATATTAACATGAATTGATACTGCACATAAATTAACTAAATTACACCATTATAAATTAAAATTCCGAAATGTTCAATTAAAACATTTTTGAGTGAACGTTTAAGAGTATTTAAGTCATTAATGATTCTTGTTTCATTATTCATGGAGTTCCACAAAGACACTGCCTTGAATGTTATTGACATTTTCAGATAGTTAGTCTTTGGTCTTGGCAGAACAAATGTCAGTTTCCTTCTTAGGTTGTATAGTTCAAATCACTTTTTCAAACAAGAAAGTGAGATCTTTCGGCGTTTGGTCATAGAAACATTTATTGGCCAATATCGCCGACCTTGATTTAGCCAAATGGTGTAATGTCAACCAGTTTGAACGACGAAAAACCTCTGTATATGGAGTATATATACCAATCTACCCATGCATAATTGGCTACTCTTACATGAATATGTTCTAGTTTGTCAAATAGTGTCTTTGCATAGGAACCCCATATTTGAAGGTAAAATGATTTTGTAACGCAATTTAGAGAATCTAATCTGTGTAATACCAATGAGAATAAACTTAAACGAAGTAGATCTATTCTTTTGAGTATAGACTTAATCATAGTTACAATGTTTAGTTGCATTTTAATTGATTATCTAATTCAACTCCCAAGCATCTGGTAGATGTGACACATGCTTAATGTGATGATCACCAAGCTTAATACCCTGTGGTGGACCGGTAAAAGATTTTCGGGTAATTAACATAAATTCTGATTTTCCTGGATGAGGTGTAGGGCAATTTTGCCCACACTAGTCATTTAGCCTTCTTGATGTTATTTAGTATATGATAGGAACCTAATCAGGAGATGGTCTGATCACATATATAGTAATGTCGTCGGCGTACATATAAATAACTCCTTCATTTTTTGTATGGAAGGTCATTACAGTACAAGAGAACAAACAGTACAGACATACGGCCCTCTGATGGCTGTAAATATTGTACCAATTACCACCGTCACCTGTAGTAGCAAATCGTAATGTCAACAATGGCGAATGACGGCGAAGTATTGTTGATTTTCCTATGCTTTTGACTGAGAAGTTTTTTACCTTTTCATGTTTTTGCATGAAAATGTTTGCGTTCTTGTCTGTTGGCATTTTATACTGACCTATGACCAAAATTAACCCGCCTAAGCCACACAAAAACTCTTAAGGCAAGTGCTCATCTCTATTGTTTACATTATTGTCAGGTTACAACAGAGATAATTGCGTTGCCAATAGCAGCCTATTTTGCCCGATTTATTCCGTATTTTGTAACGCATATTTAGAGAATTTAATCTGTGTATTTTTACCCATGGCATACTTCAACAAGTAGATCTATTCTTTTAGTGTGCCTTAGTCATATTTACAAATATTAAGCTTGGTTTTTAATTGGTATTTTTTTCGGTTTTCATTTCTGCTTTGAAAACCTATTTGCAACTAGGTTTAAACTGTGACGTCACGAAGTTTTCTATCCAGTTATTTTACAATCCATGATTAGGCAAATAGTCTTAAATCCAACTCCATAAATCACCAGCAATACCATGTCCTTGTTTCTTTTTGCATTAAAATCGCATGGGTTATTGAATCATAAAGGTTTTCGAACGTCCAGAAATATACCACTCCTACTACTAAATTATCATCCAAGGCCTTCCTCCAGTATTCAGTCATTTTAGTCAATAACAATTCTGAAGAATAACCTAATCTTTCCAGGGACACTTAACAAAGAGATGCGTCGATAGTTCTGTTATCGGTCTCGTCTTCCTTTTATTACAATGCTGACACATTGGCTGATTTCCATATTTTTGGGATAGTATTGCGAGTAGCACTCTTTGTATACAGGGTGTCTAAGAAAACACTATAGGAATTCAACAGGCTGTTGTGCATCTAAAACTTAGGTAAACAATTCAATTTTTATATAGGACGAAAGAGCTGTTATTTAGCTTTTTAATGATGCTTTTCTTACATCGTAACGATGAGAAATAGCCACATACTCGTCAAATAAAAATTGTTGGTCGAAATCACATTCTTCCACTGTTGGGAATTGAAAATACTGTACATTAATTATGCAAAGTTAATCAATCAAAAAGGAACGCGAGCCCGCTGCAAGGTATTTGTTTCATAAAACGTTTTGTTTACGAATGTTGTCTGTTCAGTGGTTAATTGAACCATGTTTAATGCAAGACAAAGATTGACGCGTTCAGCTCATTTTAGATAATTTAACATTCAACTCTAATTTCCTCTTGGAAATTGTTTATGTTTCGTTTTCCATGCTGAGGATTTAATCTATCAATTTTTTTATATTAATCTGTAAAGAATAAATATAGATGTATTAATACATCGTATCCATGAGTATGACAGGCAAAAAATGGACGGGTATTCCGCAATCGCTCCGAAATTCAACCACAAACGCTTTGCAACGTTTTAAAATGTTCTTAAAACTAAATTACCGATTATCGGTAAACATTGAGTTAGAAATAACCTGATTTCAAATTCTCGCATGAAAATAACTTTGCTTTCCTCTTTACATTTAAAGATTTTAGTATAATAAAAAAGGGTAATTAATAAAAATACGATGAAATTATATGCTGTCTCTTACTATATACTTATATACGCAAGGATTGTATCAGTTTTTGAAGCAATTATAAGCAAATAAAACATGAATATTAAAAACAAACTTACCTTCATTAACCTTAGCGACTTTAACTCCCTTCTTTTAGATGTTTTTGGGCTCTTGTTTCTCAAAAAGGTTTTGCAATTTACAAAATCTTGCAAAAATACAATATATTTGCAAGAAATGTTTGTTATTTCGCTGTCGTCCTGCAGTCGTTATAATGCAAATTTCAAATTTGACCAATCAGTGTTCGCTATTCACGACAATCCGCTACACATTTTGAGATCAATGAGGATGACCAGGCATGAACGGTGAACTATGGCCATGCGCCCGAGATATTTGATGAAAGTCATAGTTTTCTCTAGTACGGTCCTTTCTTCGGGTGTAAATTGCCGGGTGGAATTAATACCCTCGCCCCGAGCTTACGCCCGGAACAGAACATGATACTATGCCAAGACAGTAATCTATGTACCTACCAAGGTAATCAGGGATGGGAACAGTGTATTGTTCGGATATCCGTTTTTCCACATGGATTTGTGCAAATTTTTTTCAATGACAATTTTCCCAGTGAGATCGGTTGTTGTCTTGTTCATATCGTTGGATAAAGTGGAAACAAAGACAAAAACTCATTATTTGGACCATTAACCGCTTTTGAGCAAAAATCTCGTATGGTCATTAACGAACCATCGGAAAAGTAACGGTAGATTTTATACATAAAATCGAAGCACTGCATTGTAGATTATTATGTCTTCGATGCAGTACTAATGTCGATCATGATGTATTAATCAGTAAAAAATTAAAACTATGCTTAAACCACAGCGGCCCAATCTTACCCTGTGTTATTAATTTATTACGTTATATCTTTATATAAGTAGTATATTGAAAATCATTAGAAAATCCTGTGTTATTAATTTATTACGTTATATCTTTATATAATAGTATAATGAAAAGCACTTACATGTGTTTCCTGAAAGATTTTAAAGAGAACCGGCCAAGGTTGGAGTTGACAAGAGGTTAACGGCCATAGTTGGGGTTGACATGAGGATTAACAGCAAGAAATAATACAAGGCTGGTCACTTTGACCGTTAATTGGACTAATTGGGACAAACGCTGACAGAAATCAATCGAATAACACGAACATCGGCTGTCGCATCCTCGCCAAATTACGTTACATCGGAAGAGCGATAATTTTTACATAATATACTTTTCTTTAACAGAATTTAACAATAATCTTCTTGCAGAAAATGCCAATTGAAACTTACAAATGTCTAATCTTCCGAGGTTTGTGATCGGTATGAATTCATGGCCTTCAAATTCGAATTACACGCTACATTGTCATTGGTCGGCTTTCAAAACAACAACAGGACATTTCCGGTAAGAGAGCGAACGTTTGGGGAGTTAGCGAATGGCCTCTGCGCATGTCCTGTTGTTGTTTTGAAAGCCGACCAATGACAATGCAGCCCATGAATTCAGATCGGTGACGAACCTCGTAAGATTAGACATTTGTAAGTTTCAATTGGAATTTTCTGCAGGAAGATTATTTGTCAATTCTGTTAAAGAAAAGTATATTATGTAAAAATTATCGCTCTTACGATGTAACGTAATTTGGCGAGGATGCGACAGCCGAAGTTCGTGTTATCCGATTGATTTCTGTCAGCGTTTGTCCCAATTAGTCCAATTAACGGTCAAAGTGACCAGCCTTGTATTATTTCTTGCTGTTAATCCTCATGTCAACCCCAGCTATGGCCGTTAACATCTTGTCAACGCCAATCTTGGCAGGTTCTCGTTAAAATCATTCAGGAAACACATTTAAGTGCTTTTCATTTACTATTATATAAAGATATAACGTAATAAATTAATAACACAGGGTAAGATTGAGCCGCCTGTGCTTAAACTAAATTATAATAACCTCTTGCTTTGATACAAAATTTAGTCCAATTTAGGTAACCATATGAGTCACAGAAATTTCAGTACTAACGCTACAAATCGCATAGGTTTTGAAAAGTATCATTTATGTATGGCACTTCAACATTTACAAGGTTTCAAAACGGCGATTATGCCACCATCTTCTTGAGAAAGGGATGTCTTATGGATTTATCAAATATCTTTATAATAGAGACTCAATTGTACGCATTGTAATTATGCGTGTAGTCTTTGTTCAGCCCTAAAACAGGGGCCAAATTTTCGAATAAAGACCAAATTTCCTATGAAATATAGCACATGCAGGGGTTAAGAATTACTGCACGTCAGTAGAGCATAATTTCAAGTTACAGTATGTGGCAGTATACAGTGCACGTTACTACAAGAGACGTGTTAGTCAAAAGTTCGGATGAATGGGTAAATATTTTATTTCATATTCACCGGATGTAACCCACGCAGAAGGTAGTGACACTGATTGTTCCTGGTGGAACTAGCCGGCGATTTAGCAAGCAGAAAATTGCGTCGGTAACCTCGATCAGTATGCTGCTTAGTTGTACTTCACTCTCTCACATTCTTATGCCTTGGATCCCTGAGCCATGTCTGTAGGATTAAGCTTGTTCATGCATGTATATATTTCTTCCTTCAATCAAAGTTGTCAGAACAATCTCAATAGAATCTGTGTCGGTTCTTTATGTTGTTCACTTCGCCACTTGCTGTTGTTCACTTCGCCACTTGCTGTGTCGTTTCTTCATGGCAACTAGTATGTGTGATTCTCTGCCCAACCCAGCAAAACTACCTCCCTCTGCTTGCAACTTTACAACAGTTACTCGCACAATGTCAGTGGTGTAACTTTACTTTTTTAACCACTTGTCCTCACTGCAAGTTGGACATGAAATTAGTTGCCCTGAATAAAATTAACTTGTCATCAGACAATGGCCAAAGGGGTACCTAGGTAGGGGGTATAAATAAAGGGAAAACTTGTCGACCCATTCTCCCAATACAGCTCTATATGGCTATGTTATACTGCCTCAGAACTAGCTTTGTCCCACAAAGGAAAAACAAAATTTGAATCAAATACATGCATAAAAAATTTATCCGACAATGAAAACATAAACTTAAAGATATCCAGCTTTTTGTGGCAAGGCAACTAGCCCAATCGGGCAAGCATGATAAAACGTTTATTTGCCCGTCATGATATTCACTTACCCCGGGCAAGCGGGCAAGTGTTAAGTTACACCTCTGAATGTCTGCAAACTTGTGCAAAGGCTAAAGTCACTGTTTTTCAGAGCAAGTAGGTCTGTGACTGACACAGTCGGGCCACGCTTATATTATTATTACACGTTTATTTTAGACTTGGTAGACAATTGAAGATTGTTTAAATTAAAACAAGAATACTATCGCGACTTGGAATCCCAAAGTTTGAAGTGTTTCTACGGATGGAGACAATTTTATAATAACGTTTTGAAATGAATTATTGCATTTTGACTTCTGTGTGACTTATTATTGATTGGATATTGCAAACAGTCCCATGCAAGAAAAAGCTTAGGTACAAGACCAAGTGGCGAGTTATTTGATGTCGATAATAAATATTTAAAATATTTTTGTTGAGAATGACTTTTAAATTCTACACTTGTGATATTCATTATATTGTTAGCCCGCAGCCTCTTCACTACAAAATTATACTGCAACCCAAACAAAACTACTGACAGCAGGTGTTAAAGATATAAAGCAGCTGTATCCGTCAAAAGCATTTTAAAAGCAGCTATACCTATTACTCTTTTAAGTTCCGACATTTAAAAATCCTCCATTGTGTGATATAGAGAAAATCCTAAACGCATGGATATTATTCAGCAATTAAATTTTAAAAGCCTCCATAATTGGGTGGTATAGAGAAAATCTAAAAGCATGGATATTGCTCAGCAACTAAAATTCGTCTTAAACTTTCATACTGTGTTTAATTTGTAAATTTATTGCTTTTGAAGCAAATGATTCAAACGGCTTTCCGTCAGTGAAAATGTACTTGCCAGCGCACCAAAACGAACAGGAGCTGTTCCCAGTCACTAATTTCTCACAAAGTTTTGATTCCCTTTACTTAAGAATTTTGTCTTCTCCCTCCCCGGCCACCAGCCTCCAGATTCCACTGCTGCTAAATTGACTACAGAACTACGCGGTGGAAAGGAGCAAGTCCATCCATATATAAACGCGATGGTCATGGCAAAATTCAATGGGAAAAGAGGGTGGGTAAAAGAGAGGGAAATTGTCAAGGCGTTCCCAAATAAGAAATAGCGTGCAATATGCATAAATATAGCCATCACTTTGTCACCTTTTTGGCAGCATTTAGCCATTTCTTGGACCTTAGATTTTTTCATGCGAGAATGCCCCCTGGACTTGCTAGCGTATCATATCAAAATAATCTCTAAGTCATAGTTGGCTCGGGTCTCCATATATATATATATATATATATATATATATATATATATATATATATATATATATATATATATATATATATATATATATATATATATATATATATATATATATATTTATATGGACCTTAGATTTTTTCATGCGAGAATGCCCCCTGGACTTGCTAGCGTATCATATCAAAATAATCTCTAAGTCATAGTTGGCTCGGGTCTCCATATATATATATATATATATATATATATATATATATATATATATATATATATATATATCTATATATATATATATATATAGGTTATGTTAAAACCGTTGACAATCTGATGCCTAATAGAGCGACTTTCAGCGAGCTCGAAATTGGCCAATCTGGCACAAATTTGTCTAATATATGAATTAATTTCATAGTTTTGTTAATTTCGTGCAAACATAAAAATATGAATCAACTTGCCTGCGTAGTTTCCATCGAATTTTGAAATTGCTAAACAAACATTTGAAAATTTATAGGAACGGTTTTGTGAAAAGAACTAAGCATCAGCCATTCTCTGCTAATTTTCACGTTATTTCTCAAGGCCGGCCTATTTCCAGCCTGTGTGCAGAATGTATATTATGCTGTAATATATAGTCTGTGAAAATTTGAGGCATTGTTTGTCGACCATTCTGATTGGGTGGAGTTCAAAGTTTAACAAAGATCTGACTTTGAATAACGTAAACAAACCACATCACGTTCAGGAATTGCCGTTATTTTCAACTCCTTGTTGAGTTTCATTTGTTCAATTATACAGATGTCAATATTAATCTGCGAAATGCATCAAAAACATTTTTGCGTCGAAAATTTAGTAGTTTCGGGCATATAGAGAAGAAAAATTTACAATGAACCTCAATTGTCAAGAAAATATTATTTCGATTTTGAAAGCCCGACGTTCGTTTATATTTACTGTAAGTCCAGCCAATCATAACCCATTAAGTTGAACCATGAACAATCAGATTCAACTAAACAGATTTCGGTTGCGCAACTGGGGGTCGACAAGTAATCCCACAGATCTCGGTTGCGCAACTGGGGGGTCCTATTATCCGTCCCGGCCTGTGTCGTACATCACATTTTACCAACGCAAAAACAGGCAAATTTTAGCTCCAGTTTTACCCTTTCAGGACCACCTATTATTATGAGGATGCTGTGCATAAGTTTCTCGAGTGTTTAGAGATAGAACAGCAATACATCGAAGAGAAACTTAGTTTCGTCGAGCCGATCCGCATCGAGAAGGAGGAAGAACAGATGTTTCAAAACACCATTAACTGCCATATCTGTGGTTTCGAATTGGGCGCCGACCGGGTTCGCGATCATTGCCACCTCACAGGAAAGTATCGTGGAGCCGCACACAACGAATGTAACTTAAACTATAGTTTTACTGGACGCATTCCTGTCATCCTTAACAATCTTCGTGGTTATGACTCCCACTTGATTATGCAAGGCCTTGGAAAGCTAAAGAATAAGGAGATCAACTGCATCCCCAACAATACTGAAAAGTATATTTCCTTCTCCATCAATAAACTAGATTTTATTGACTCACTTCAGTTTATGAACGCTTCCCTCGAACGGCTTGTCTCAAACTTATCCAAGAATGGTGGGGATATGTTTCCCATCCTCCGGAGATACGTTGAATCTGAGAAAGTGCCATTGTTGCTGAGGAAAGGCGTGTATCCGTATGACTACATGGATAGTGTGAAAAAGTTCGATCAAGAAACTCTGCCTCCTCAAAAATGCTTCTACAGTATTCTAAACGGCGAACACGTTTCCGATGCTGACTACGACCACGCTACTCGCGTCTTTGAGGCTTTTAGCTGCCAAAGTATGGGAGACTATCATGATTTGTACTTAAAATCTGACGTTCTGCTCCTTGCTGATGTATTTGAAAACTTCAGAAACGTCGGTTTAAAAGCATACAATCTGGATCCTTGTCACTTTTACACAAGTCCTGGGTTGGCGTGGCAGGCTTGTCTGAAAATGACAGAGGTGGAACCAGAGCTATTGACTGATCCAGATATGTATTTATTCATCGGAGAAGGTCTTCGTGGTGGTATATCCATGATAAGTAACCGTTCCAGTAAAGCGAACAATCCGTACATCCCCAACTATAACCCTGACCAAGACTCATCTTACCTGATGTATCTCGACGCTAATAATCCTTATGGCTGGGAAATGTCACAACCTCTACCAACTGGTGAATTCCATTGGTTAAATGAAGAAAAGATCTCCAACCTTGACATCGCGCAAATTCCCGATAGTAGTATAGGAACTGCCGAAGCGAGACCACTTTTATTTTTTAAAACCCCTTTTCAACGACTAAAAATGGTCTCACTCAGGCTGTTCCGTAGCAAATTTTGATGACCAAATTTTGATCAAAAGTACAGCGAAACTGCTGCTCTAGAGCCATTCTGAGACGTTTTTCGTAATACTTGCTTTGGGAGCTTCGGGATCGCTTTAGCGGTCACGGGGCTCCAGCTGGACACAGATTTAGCCGTTCTCTATGTGATCTCGAACTTTTACCAATATCATAAGATTTCCAGATTCTAGAACACTTCTAACAATTTTCAAACTACCCCTCTGTAAACACACGCCAGGGTTTAGAATTATTTCAATTACTATTTGAGACTACTACTTCACACCCTACAGATACCCTACAGTTAACATTTTCAGCATTCCTGCTAAACTAGGCAAAACTGACAATCTTCTTTTACAAAACTCACCTTTCACTTCTTAAGACTCAGATTAGACTTTTCCCTATTCTGGAGCCTCTTCGCCAACTTTTAGACTTCCCCTGTGTGGACACACAGTGGGGTGTAATTTTATTTTGTTTGTTATTTGAGACTACTACTTTATACTCTACGGAAACCTTTCAGTCACTATTTGTTATGTTTTTGTTTCCGTAAGCATAACTGGTTACTCCATCTTCCAAAAGATATCTTTTGTCATCAAAGCAACTTAGAGTAACCTTCCTCATTTCGTAAGTTCCAATTGTGTGCTTTGTGCTCCTGATTGTATTCATGTTGTGTCTCATTCTACCCTTTGTGCTGATTACGTTCTTGAAGTTCTTATGGGTGAGCTTGTTTCTGATGACATACTTTTTGACACCCTTAGCAGTCATTCCACCCGCACCGTTTTCCTTGATGTATGAGTACATCTTTGACCTCAACCCAACAAACTCAATTATGGGTACTCCACCAGCTTCATCCTTAAACTTACCCATAACCTTCTTGTTATGGTTTGAGTAGTAGGGGCTGTCTTTTGGGTAGTCCGAATTATCCCAGCAGTCTTGCTCTTCACCAATCCTCTTGAAGTCCTCATACACATCATCCGTCTTCAGCTCGTACATTAGACTATCCGTATCAGTGAACAGTAGTTTTGACCTGTCACCGTACTCCCTTTTGATGGTATTATAATGGAAGTCATACATTAGAGTTTTGGATAAGTCAAGTATGCACATTCCCACATAGCACGGTTTGTTCAGCGTTAGCACTTCCTTCATTCGCTTTACCACGATTAGATTCTCATTCATAATCCTGTGTGACTGGAAGCATGGTGATGCTGTCATTTTCAGGAGGTCATCTTTGGAAGACACTAGTTTCACATCAACTCTTCTCCTGAGATTCTCCATAGTCTTTCCGTAGATGGAGTTGTTCATTAGCTTGAAGAAGTTTTTCTCGAATGTGTTCTTAGCCTTTGCTCTCATACTGGTATTGAAGTCTATGTAATCCTTTAGCCAGGGGGACTGCTTGAACGTGACAGCTCTGTGAACATTTGTTAGCCTCATTCCAAGATCTGTGTAAAGTTTCAAATTACGTACATGTAAGACGTACTTTTTCCTTGGTCCCAGTGAAGTTATAAGTTTCCTTACTCCTCCAACAGTTAGTTGGAATTTATCAGCAATAGTCTTCGCGTAATCGGATAACATGGAAGCATCAATTTCCTTACTCTCTGGTGCTAGAGGATAACCGTTATGTAGATCGTGAAGTTCCTGTGGGTATTCTAGGTCAACCTCTAAAACCATTCCCCTTTCGCCATCTTCCAGGTACTAATCCAGATCCATACCATCAAATGACTCAACCCACTCAAACTCCCCATTAGGTAGTGGTTGTGACATTGCCCAGCCATACAGATTGTTAGCATCGAGGTACATCAGGTACTTATTTTCAGAGTCCTCATCATACGTTTCCATATACTTATTATTAGCTGTTGAAAGTCTATGAGCAATATAACTTGTACCACCTCTCATACCCTTCTCAAAGAACTGGAACATATCCATATCACTAACGAGTTCAATTTCTTCACCTGACTTTTTCAGGAAAGCGTTCCAACTTAGACCGGGTGCTGACACGTAATGTGCGGGGTCAAGTTCGTAACTTTCCAGACATGTTCTCCTAAAGTTCTCGAATACATCAGCCAGTAGAAGAACATCGGTTTCAAGGTAAAGATCGTGATAGTCTCTAAGGGTTTTCATCTTGAAGTGATCCCATACTTTCTGAGCTCTCTGGTAATATTCTTCCTTCACCTCTGACTCATACTGTGACGAGTAGAACTTATCCTTACTAGGTAGACCCTCCGTATCAAGTTTCCTAATATCGTCTAGGAACTCATATGGGAACACTCCTTTTTGTGTCACTAGATTGAAGTCCTCACCCTTCCACCTCTTACCTACTATCCTGAAGTCCTCAGGTGGAAGGTTACTTACCAGTGCTTCCAGTGAAGAAGCCATGAACTGTATAGAGTCTATAAAGACCAGATTCTTACCCAGTGAGAATGAGATGTATTTTTCCATATTATTTGGAATCACGTTGACGTTCATCTTGAACTTACCAATTTCCTGCATAATCAGATGGCTGTCGTAACCTCTCAAATTGTGGAAGACCACAGGTACTTTCCATGTAATTCTATACTTGAGATTGCATATATTATGAGCAGCTCCACGATACATTCCTGTTACATGATCATGGTCCCTCACCTTATCCTCACCAAGGTCGTTACCACATATGGAACAGTTTCTTGCAGTCTGGAATTCAAATTCCTGTTTGGGTGTAATTACCATCTTTTTCTTGAATATACCGTTGATCATTTCTCTACATCTGAAGGACTCTTTCAATACAGTCTTTAGGAAGACCAATGCAGCATCCTCTCCAACGTAACTCTTATACTCACCAGAGTACTTATCATCATAGTGGCAGACTGTTTTTAAACCAAAGCTACAGGCCTTGTGTGTCTGGTAACGGGTTGTGCTACTTTTGTCCTCACTACTTTTCACCTTACTGTTTTCGTCTTCAGGTACCAGTATGGACTCGAAATCAGCGTATATTACAAACGGCACCGGCATTGAGTTCCTGTGATTCTTGAACTTTATTTTTGTCCCTTCCTTAGGAAGCTTTGTAGCCTGAGTTCCACTTACCTGCAAACATGTTTCCCTGTGCTTTTCCACTGTCTCCTCACTAACACAACTATGAAGGCAGTGTAGACAGAAGTGTTGCTTGTGACCATGTTTACTCACATTGCACAGCATTCTATTCACATCCTTTATGAGCACATAGTGCCTGTTTCCATTGTCATCACCGAGGAGTAGAAGTTCCATATGTTCCTCGTACTTGGTCTTTGAGATTCTTATTGAGTAGAACTGCTTTTTACCCTTATAACCGAACACTGATATGCTTATGCTGTTTTTCCTCTCAATCTTGTCAATATCGCTGATCTTCACAGGAAACTCTATACCCTCATAGTCCAGGTTTTCCTTGAACTTTCTATCTTCCTTGGTAATAGTAGTTGCTCTTCTAGACTTGGGATTTAGGTATCTCACATGACTCCACATGAAACACATGTTATCATCATTCTTTACATTGATGAGCCCACACATTGAGTTACTAGTGTCAGCGGGTAGTTTCATATACGAACTTCCAGCTAGTGGTTTGTACATCGCAATGTTCACATAATGACTCTCAATATTGAGTATAATCCAGTTTGAACCTACGTTTTGGAATGTCTCAATTCTAGACAAGATTGTCAGTTGGTTTTGAGCAGCCGTACTTTCGGTATCCTCGAAGTTCGTAACAGTGCCAGTTTATTTAGACTTGAAGTATATTGAGTCCTTCTTGGTTTTCCCATCACCGATTTCCTTGGACATTCTCACCTTTATGGTCTCTGTGTACTTCAATCCACCCATTCTCTTTAACTCGTTCACAAGTATTCCTCTCACTACCTGTCTACTTGCGGTCATCTGATCCAGAGGGTCCATATAGTGGGGAGTTATTGAGTAAGTCACGGCGGCTCCATTGGCAGCTGTTTCTATTTTCCTGTGGTATGGTTTCTTAAGGTCTGTGCCAAACGGATCAATTTCGTGTAACTCTGGGGCAATCACCTGAGGCTGATCCTTGACTTCCTTCAACTGATTTACAGGCTTACGAACCTTAAGAGGGAGCACTTGTTTCTTAGTCCTGGGTGCTGGTACAGGTCTTTCCTTAGGAAGCTTAGTTCTAGGTTTGGGCACAGGTCTTTCCCTTGGAAGTACCGTCCTAGGTTTAGGTGTAGGTTTCCATGGAGCTACACCCTTAGGCACCTCAGGAGCTTTCCTCGTCGGTTTTCTCTTGTTAAGATCAACTGTGATTGTGAACTTACCTGGACCCACTGAGGTTATGACGCTGTCCGCTGGCACTGAGAGTTTTACTTTCCTCTGACTCAGGAATCTTTCAGCTACTGTTTGTCTTTTTGGTTTGACTTCAGTCTTTGCCTTTGGTGGTCTGCCTCTTTTCTTTGGCACCTTCACTTCAGCCTCAGTTTTTGCCTTTGGTGGTCTACCTCTTGGTTTCTTTACCTTAGGGTTTCTCTCATTTTCTATTCTCTTTATTTCATCATTAATTAAAACATTATCCGTCCGCCACTTACCAGCCATAGTTGGTGGAAGACCCTGAACTCCTTTTGATAGTAGACTCTGGTAAGCTTCTTCTACAAGAAGTGCCTTAGCCTTTTGTCTCTCTGAGTGCTTCCACACAGGAGTAATTCCGCGTTTACTCTTATAGTTCTTAGGTATACGCCTGGGCTTTGGTCTTAATACATCAGGATCTACTTCATCAACAAATTGTGATTCACTGTAGAAGTAATCCTCTCCTCTATCTTTAGGTTTTACTCGGTACTCACGATCTTCGAGAACTTTTTGTGCACTCACTTCAAGGTCAGTGTCACTGTCTATCATATCGTTTATAGCAAGTAATTGTTCAACGCTCATGTTACTGAATTCTGACATATTTTCTAATTTTTCCTATATACTATATGTGTAAAAAAAAAATAAGGTATTTAATTTCGAATTTATTTTTTATTTAATTTATTGTTTATTTCTATTAATTTATTATATTAATATTTCTTTAAGTATTTTTAATTTCGATTTATTTCCACTAATTTATTATATTAATATTTCTTTAAGTGTTCTGACATATTTTCTAATTTTTCCTATATACTATATGTGTAAAAAAAAAATAAGGTATTTAATTTCGAATTTATTTTTTTTTTTAATTTTGTTTATTTCTATTAATTTATTATATTAATATTTCTTTAAGTATTTTTAATTTCGATTTAATTTATTGTTTATTTCTATTAATTTATTATATTAATATTTCTTTAAGTATTTTTAATTTCGATTTATTTCCACTAATTTATTATATTAATATTTCTTTAAGTGTTTTTAATTTTCCATTTATTATAATATTAACATTTTTCAGGTTTCCATCCAAGCTCAACAAAAACTTTCCCATACAACCTGTCCTCAAGGGTGTCCACTATCTTTTGAGTTCTGATGTCCTCAGGAGGGTTTCTCAGCTTAATACCGTTCATACTGGCTAGCCTGAGTAGGTAAAACTTGTACCTAACAATGTTGCGCCCCCTTTGCAGCTTAAGTCTTTGTATACATCTCACGATGCTTCTAAACTGCTCCCGTATGGTATCCCTATCCCTAGCAGCAACATGTTTAAATAAATGTCTCTCAAACCAGCGAACTCTCTTATGACAAGACTTCTTTTTCAGATAGTCGTCCTTGTTGTAGTTGTAACTAACGTAATACGAAAAGTTATTCAAACTACATACTCCACATTCTGTACATGTATCTGCTCCATCTATCATTACAATAGACTTACTCCCACATTCACTACATACTGGATCATATATATGTCTCCTCCTTATTCTACTCTCAGCGTACCTCCTTACAGCAACCTCTAGCTCTTTCACTGTATTTACCCTCTTACCTACATATACCATCTCCTCAGGTGTTACCATCTGTAGCCAGTCCATTTTCCTATACTAATAGATGTGAAAAAATTTGCGTCAATTTTTACAGCATTAAATAAGCTGCCCCTCCAACCACCCCACCAGCTATTAAACCAAACAGTGCCATATATTCTTCCATCTCGGAGCTAGGTTTGTAGTGATTACTTAATTGCGGCTTCCTTGGTATAGCCTTACGTGTTAACTCATTGATTCTTCTAACGAGTTCCAATGACTTATTTGTTGACTTAATATCCCTATTTGCATCAGCTATTTCTGCCCTCAGCTGCGCAATCTTATTTCTCCTATCAGTGACTTCTTCAAGGTACTTTTCTCTTTCAGCTGTTAGGTTCTCCATTGCAAGGTTATGCCTCTTAGCTTCCTCAGCGTATCCATTCTTGTCGAACATTTTAAATAGGTATCCTGCTCCTGCAAATGCAAATGCATTAAAAAGTCCTCCTGCTACTGCGCTTGCCATTTTATACACCTACACTTGTTTTATGCCTTCTTCTTTACTACTGGTCTAGTTGGGTTATCGGGGATAAACTTATGTTTCTTCAGGTACGCCACCAGTAGGGATGAAAGACTAACAGAGACAGCTAACTTTAACATTCCCTTTGTGTTCTCTGGTGTACCTAGTGGTTCCTTCAGTAGTTTCTTAGAAGCCATTGAAACTCCTATTGCTCCAGCTGTAAGTAACAGTGCATCGTACACTTCACCTCCCATATCTGATCTATCATCGGTAACATCGTCAGCGTTTACCTTACTCATTTTGCTATAATATATGGTATGTTTAATGTATCATTCGAGTGGATCTAACTTGGACTTGTCAGCTCTTTTAGTTACTTCTACAGTTTTAGGGATGTACTTAGGTTCTAGTTCCTTTGTTTCCCTCTGATGCGACTTATACGCTAGCACAAGAGATACCAGTGCAACGACCACCCCTATGTAGGTAATCATACTATCATTACTGGATGACTCATTAGGTTCAGCCTGTTTTCTTTTTCTCTCCTTTGCTATTTTACTGATTGCCGCTAATCGTTTCCCTGCAGCTACTCTTTTTGGGTCCTTCTTCTTTTCACTTGTTACTGGTACTTGAGTTTGCTCAGGTTTATCTTCCATTCTACTTGTAAGATACCTTAGGTTTAACTGGGTTTCATCTTATGAGATATCTTGAATTCTACTTGTGAGATAACTTAAATTTGCTTGCAAGATAACTCAGATCTACTGGTGAGATAGCTCAAATCTACTGGTGAGATAACTGGTGAGATAACTTAAATTTGCTTGCAAGATAACTCAAATCTACTTGCAGTATAATGGGATTGCTTAAAAAATGCCCGACAGTATTTGCCGAGCACCTTTTAAGTTTACTTTTATGATGTTATATTTTACTTACTAGTTTTCTCTAAAGTATTCCGCTAAGTCAAGTATAATCTCAGTGTAATCATCAGATATTAGTGTTTGATATCCACCATCGTTTAATGACTTTAGCAGTAACCTCTGATTTTCACGTAGTACTCCGTTACTCTTAGGAGTCTTAAGCTCTAGCACGTACCCGTGAAATCCATTACATGCATTCATTAGTACTATATCAGGTTGACCACCCTTGTATCCTTTCTTCCAGGCGTCACATCTTAGTCCACTAGTTTTTTGGTACTCTCCTAGTCCAGGTATTATTTGCGCTTCCGGGTGGTACTTACGTATGTACTTTACAACTGCGTAGTGTAGGTCCGTCTCGTTTTTCAGCATCATTTGGTTTCCACAAATTTGATTGTTTTCAGGTACTTTGTATTGACCTGTTTTACGGATAGATGGAAGCACCTCATTAATTACCCAATCCTGGAATGCCTCTGCTATTGGAAGCTTTGACTTAAATAATAACTGGTAAAGACCTTGTTCCATAATAAGAACTGTGCTTGGATGACCCTTTAATAAGAGGGACAAATCGTCCCCCTTGCCTGGATGACCCTTTAATAAGAGGGACAAATTGTCCCTCTTTGTTGACTCACCTATGGTTGTCTTATTTTTTAACCAAACGTGTTTTCTAACCGCTTTCTTTGGATCAGCATATCCTAATGACTCTGCTACATCCTTACCGTAGAACAGTATACCCTCACCCCACCTCACTGTTCTTACACTAACATTCAATTTCCTGTTATCAAAAATTTGTTCCATCTTCTTTATACTATATGTGCAAATATTTTTATAACTATTTTATCTGTGAATTACTGCATCTCATTTAAATTCTTGTATATTTTTACAATTCCGTTTACCATACTATCTCTGAAGGCCCCAAAGTCATACTTAAGCGCTTCCAGTGTGCTTTGCATCTCTTCTAGCCGATCCCTATTCTTATCATTCTTTTCAATCAGTTCGTCGATTATTTCTTCAAACTCTGTTTCTACTCATGGATTTCCCCACTCGCTGGGCTCTCCGGGTTGTGGCATTCTGTATGTAATAGGAGATGTTTAGCTTCGTCGGACACTTCCGGCTCTTCCTCCTTCCTGTTCCATATATGGGCTACTACATGCCTGGCGGTTGTACATCCACCAGAGATGAGTCCTATAAATGGAATGTTTGGGGATATACTTCTGGTTAAATGTGACACGTCTTCCTTAAGAAGCTTATCACTAAGTAGTTCATCAGACAGAGCATCTGCTGATTCCACTGCATTGAAGCTACCAAGTGCCGAAGCAAACTTTGAAATAATAAGTGTTGACAAGAAGTCAGCAGCAAACTTCATCCTCTGATTCTCATGTTCATCGTATAGTCTATCGATCACATCTTTATTAGACTTTCTTATGAAGCTTACAGACTTCTCCACAATACCATCGCTTGATAGCTCTATAAGCTTGTCCCTTTTATGTTCAGTTTGCGACTTATCTGCGGTGGCCTTAGTTTTTCTTGCGGTAGACTTAGCTTTTTTCTGCGGTGTCCTTGCGACCTCCTCTACTTCTGCGACTGCGACTGCAATCATTTCGTCGTCAGACTCTGGTCCCATCATCTATATGATACGTGGTGTTTAATGAATAGTATAAGTGTAAGGGTGAACTAGTAGTATATCCAGTGCGGTGAACTTTTCATCTTTTAATATCTTCGTAATCTCTGTGATTGTCTCTTGAGGAACACCGCTCAGGTAGTCATCTGTTATCACCTTCATATCCCTGCGGCTAGGGTTATAGAATGTAACTAGCCTGGATATGTTTTCTCTAAAGGGCTTTGCTATTGAGGATAATTGTTGCGTAAGTACAATGACAGATAGGTTGTAATGTCTTGCGGAGAATGCTAAGCGCACCAGTTCTGAGACCCTTTTCTTTACAGCTTGACCTGCCGCACAATCATCCACTATGATGAGAGTTTGAGTGCCGCGGAATATGGTGGACACTGCCTTCAGAACTTGGTCTGTCAGTTCCTGTGAACATGGTATTTGTATAACTCCTATGTCACTAATATGAGTCCAATTAATGTAAGTCATATTCCACTCTATGGTTGGACATATAATGATAATATAATCGAAAACTCTATTGTACTCTGTTTCTATCATATTAAGCAGGAACTGTGTTTTACCACATCCCGTCATTCCTACTATTAATATATTAAACGGTGGCTCCATATGCTTTACCGTTAGTATTGAATGCTTGATAGATCTCTATTGGCAAAGTTAAGGAGAGCATCTGATACAACAAAAATGTTGCACTGAACGTCAGCCGTTGTAGCTCTCTTCTTGATTTCCAGTAGTACACCTGACTGTGTGTTAACAATCCTCTTACCTCCACCGGTGGTATCATCTTGTGTTGACCTGAGATCGATCACTAAAGCGAAACCATTACTGAAGAACTTACTGATGGACATAAATTCGTCTGCCATGGATTTCTCACACATAGGGCAGAAGAATCGTTTTGCCTCTTCAAAGAACCTATTTCTGGGAAGTCCTTGGGAGAAGACTGCATTAGGCACACCTTCAATGGTCATGTTTACTTTATCAATGTTTGGGTAAATATATTCTTCAGAATCAGTTCTCACTCTATTGGTAAATAGAAGGACAATTGCTGACATGCTCTTCCTAGGGATATTAATGTTCTCATTAACAATGGTAAGATCTTTGTCCCAATTACTTGTACGCATAAGAGTGACGTGTTTGTAGGACAGTGAGCGACCTGTGAATACATCCCTGATACTTCACTTGCAAGGTTGTCATTTTCTATAGCCTCATATTCTAGCTCAAGATTGTATAGTTTGTAGTCACCTTTGGCTTCACCTCCTTGGGCTGTCATAATTTCATCTGACGGTGGTAGTGTAAGGATGTACATGGGATTGTTATTCATGGAGAATGGTACATAAAGTCTGTGGTCAACTAGTATTTTATCAATAGGTTTCCTCAGCTTAGAACCGTATATACTATGCAGAAGTCCATCTGCTACTTTACCGACATCACCTACTTTTACACCTGAGTCATCACCTGATATTAACTTTCTAAGGTTCTCGCTTGCTAGCCCCTGTTCAGTCATCTTTTTCCTGTCACCTAGTGTTAGCCATAGATCTTTGTATATTTCGTACAAACTCTCTCCTGAACAGTCATAAGCCGTTTCACCTGCTACTTTAATTTGTAGACGTTTAGTTATCAACTTAGCTAGGTTGTTATTAAATCTGCTTTTTGTGTTGGAATTCTTGAAGTCAAATAATAGCGCAAGCGATCCGGGGACTAGGCAAGAGTCAGACTTGAGCTTTGGAATGTTGATGTACAGCTCTTCACCTGGACTAATAGTTGTTGGATTAAATGTTACAACACTTCTTGTCCTAGGTCCTCTTATGGTTGTCATACGGCTCCTCCTGAAGCCAGGTTGGAGTTCCCTTTCTGTTGTATTCATACTTTTATACAATATGTGATGTTTAGCTTAGTTCGTATATCAGGAATATTACACCTATGGCCCCTGCTACAATAGTCCATATATTATCACCTACTGCTTCCAGCCCATCTGCTAATTTGAGGAATACAGGTGGTAGTTTCATCTGTTTTTTTACCATATCATTTAGCTTCTCATTTATCCTTTTTGATTCATCACCTAACTTCCACGCCATACTTCTAGTTGTAACTACAAGTCCTACTATCACAGCAGCTGATGAGATAAATACAGCAGATAATACGCCTGCATTCTCCCTTGCCCATATTTTGAACAACTCTAATTTCCTATTATCATCACGCTTTACTAGCTCTCTCTTTTTCACCTTATCTCTTAAGTTGAGAAGTTTATTTAAGTTTGACTTTCTCTGGAATTCATTTGATAGCATTCTGATGTATCTCAGTTCTTCAGACTTTTCTTCGAAATCTTCTTCGTCCAATCCAGCTATTATCATATCATTTAGCAATCTATCTCCCCTATCCATGAGATTGTTATATGCTAAATTGGACAGCTCAGGATATTTTGTTGCTAGTTGCTCCCTTGTAGAAGCCTGCCCTTCACCGACTTCTTCCTGCATTTTCCTTCTTCTCAGTTCCTGCACATATGCAATTTCCTCTCCTATATCTATTGATTCCTCATTGGATTCACTTTCTCCTAGATTCTTATCGAGAAACTGTATTTCTTCATTCATACGTCCAACATCCATTTCATCATAGGGAGGTTACCTTTCCGCCAGCTCCTCCATTTTACTGTCATCGTATCCGCTTTTGTCTTCCTCCATGGCTATTATAAGGCTTGTAATATTCGTACACCATTATTACCACAGCTAGAACTAGTACCCATAAGTTTGATGCTAGCCAGGTAAGGCCTTTAGCACCCCACGACAGTGCCGTTGCAATAGCATTCAAAACTGGAACAAGGATTGGAGCAACGTTTTTCGCTAAGTTGGCTAGTGTCTTTGCTACCTTACCTGTTGCCCTTGCTCCTCGCACAACCACCCCTCTAGCATGAATAAGTAAGGCTGTAATAAGACCTGCTGTTGATATTGCTACTCCTGCTAGTCCCACCTTTTCCTTCCCCACCCAGTCCGCAAACCTTTTGAGTCTCGAGATGTCCTCTGACTGTAGCACCTCAATTTCCTCGTCTTCCTTCCTTTCCAGTGTTCTCTCCCTAGCTTCCTGAAGACCTTCTATCCTCTTCTTGAGCTCCATGTACTCATCAAGTGACATGGCTTTGGCTGCTTCCGCCTTAGTTCTACGAATTGTTTCCCTGAGGAAGTCTGCCTGTATCTGTAGTGCACCATTCGGTCCAGTTCTACCTTCCAGACTACGTGAAGTAAGGACACCTCTCATTTCCCTGTTTTCCTCCGGTGTTAGACCTTCTATATCCTTTACTTCCGGTTCCTCTGGTTTCTCTATCTGATGCGTTCTTCTAAAGTTCTCCTCGAATGTTTCTGCTAATGTCGACTTTGGTGTACCATCAGTATTTTTCGGCATCTCTTCTGTGGCATCTTCGTACACCGAAGTATTGCTATCACTTCTGATTACTAACGGTCCCGGATTTTTTCTAATTTCACTCACTAGTTTCTTATACTCTCTCAGTGCAGGAGAATTTTTCGAGTACACAGGTGTATGTAACTTACCACGTTTCATTATCTGAGTGCCACTTTTGTTAATACCCTGTTCACTTCTGAACATTAACACCTCTGTACCATCCTTGAGTGTTTTTACGGATGACCTTCTTATGAGTTCCCTGAGGTAAGTGTTCCTGGGGTCTAGTACTAGTTTCTCCTTTGCTTTAACAACTCTTGCGACCGCTTGAACACGCTCTACCTGGTTTTCAAAGTCTCTTTTCTTACCTGCTGTGATCCGGTCCCTTGAGAACTTTTTTAGTTTTCTCAAGCGGTCCTCTATATCATACCATTCGATTTCAAATGTATCGTTAAATAAATCCAGAACATCCGGAAGAAGTCCTTCCGGATCCTCCACAAATTCCAGTTCTGGGGCGCTTATATTTCCTGATGGACCCGAGATATTTACCGTACCATCTCCCCCCTCGGTAAAGGTTGTTTCCGCTACCAGTTGTTCAGTTAACATTTTCTTCACATATTCCGTTTCGTCAATAAGATCGACTAACTTTGTCGGATCTTTACCGTACAATGATTTCCCCGTCACCTTCCTTTCCAGGTTACTAAGAACCGTTGTTAGATCGTTGTATCCCATATCATCATATTGAGGATAGGTCTTTTCCATCTCCTCCATTTCATATTGATCATAGTCCTCTGCACCCTCCATAATACTTTAACTTATGTTAGAGACTTGATGTCTACAGCTGGTATCCAACTGTTAAATTTATCATTATAACCTAACCACTTAATGAGAGCCATCTTTTTACCTTTCACCGTTCTTCTCCTTAGTACTTTCTCTATTTTGAAATCAGGTTCTCTTCCTTCAGCGCTATACAGTTCTTGTTCGTAGAATCTGCCAATTATTGGTTCACCAGCACCGTCTTCTATTGTGTACGTGTTAGGATGCCCGTGATACACTTCCGTAATAGTGAATAACTCCTCTGTGAAATTTGCTTCGTACCCTTTTGTGAACACTGATTTGTACTTCGAGATCCTTACACTTTCTCCCACAGCAAACTTTGGTTCTGACGGCTTGCCTAAATTGTGACTAAAAAGTGTCTGCCATACTTCTGTCCAGTTGGAGTCATTTACACTGTCCGGTGTTGTTTTAATTGATTTGTTCACTGAACTGTTGTAATTATCAGTTAAGTCTTGAAGGACATCTAACCATTTATATGTACTGGCACTATAGAAGTACTTCCACATTAGTGCTTTCAGTGTTCTGTTAAATCTTTCCACAACTGCGGCCTTTTTATCTGAGTAAGTAGAGAAAAACTCAATGTTATGTTTATTGAGCAATAACTTTACATCTTTATTGTAAAACTCTGCTCCTTGATCAAACTGGGTGAATTTCGGGTATTTACTAAAACGATTATTAAATTGCTCTAAAATGTTACTGACAGCGTCCTTCATTTCTTTAGCGTTTTTCCTGTACACTGGTACTGTGAACGCGTACCTACTTAGTATTTCAATGGATGTAAGAATCCATCGGTATCCCTTGTTTTTATCGTCATATTTTGTCATATCAACTAAATCCATTTGTAACTGCTCACCTAAAGTTTGGACGTACGTCTGTCTAAACTTATGTCTTCTGAACACTTGTCTGTATCTAGTGTATGTATCTTGCTCGTTTATCCATTTTTTAACCTGACTTCTGGTTACTTCTAGTCCGTCTGATATTGCTCTAAGATATAGTTTCTCTGGTGTTTGGAATCCAGTCTTAGGATTGTAGTAAATATCCCGTAGTCCCTGTTCTTTGATAATATCATCATCCATCTTATTTTAACAGATGTAAGCTCATTACTCAAGGTACATCTCGATAAGCACTTCACCTATATCAATAGGTTTTCCGTCTTGATCCTTTACATGGAATACCAGTTCTGAGCATGAACCCTTAACTAATGTAACTCTACTTTCAATGTCAAAATAACTAACTACTGATCCTAATAATGGTCTGTCAGTTGGTATTGTAATACTTGTTATCACATCACTTGGCTTCCCCCAGTGGTTAGTGTTGTAGCTCTTACTTGCAAGGTTGCAATGAATGTTTACGAATCGTAGACCGTTGTTAATGTCAACTTTACTATCACCTGCTAAACTTCTCCCTTTTAATAGAATCATTGGAGTAGAATACCTACTGAATCCTAACATGTTAAGTAGGTGTTTTTCTATTGTGATGTCATATTTTGTTGTCTCTATTTGACACTTAGCTGTTTCGCTAAAGTATGTTAGCATTACACCGTGTCTTTCAAGCACAGCTTTAATATTGGCAAATGTGTGGTATCCCTTTTCAATGTTTACATTCGATTCTCCACCATCTGCCTTCACAATGATTCTCCACCATCTGCCTTCAAAAAGTACCCTCACGCTGATATGAAGAGGTTTAAGTTTGAAGCAAAGGCTACTAGTAGCGGTGACATAGGAGTTGTTACATGGTTTGTTGATTTAGATGGTATATCCTCGTATGATATCAGGTATGGAGGTTTTAAGGATAGTAAAGAGTTTACATCTTATCTCACAGGTACTAAGAAAATTATTATTCCTGCTCAGTTTGTTCCCATGACTGATACCAAGGTTACGGCTAGGGAAATGCAAGGTTTCGTTGGCAGTTGGCCTCTGATGTGGAGGTTGGGTTCTGGTGCGGTGGCTAAGTTGAACAACTATGATACATTTGATAGGTTCAGTTGGTTTCCTAAAATCGGGTGGAACACTCCTGCGCATTCATTTAAGGTTTACGTGGATGGTAAAAGTTTCTTTGTAACTTTTGGGAAGGCTGGTGGAAACATGCTTCCAAAAATTGAAGACAGTATTAAGATTGATGGTGTAAGTACAGAGTTTGACTACAAAAAACCCTACTTTGCTGCCCTTTGCGGTGCATATATCGCAACGTACCTATGTGGAATCACAAGTGGTCATCTTACTCCTAATGAGGATACTTACCCTGTGATAACAAGTATAATGAACTTTCACCTTTACTACTGCATCAGGAAGTATGTGTACAAACCTGAAAGATTAATTCCCTATATGGATATGCTGGATTCTATTAAAAAGCATATTCCTGTTAAAGGTAAGTGGGTGGAGAAAAGTGATTATTATGATGTTGTATACGATAAGGGACTCGACTGGGAAAGAAGTAACTGGATAAAGGGTAGGGGTGACGGTAGCAATCCTGTAAGAAATGTAACCAATTCTTCAGTTATGACTGTTAATGGGTTTCTGAAAGGAATTCGTGTACACTATGAGGAAAGAGTATCTGTTACACTTGTTAGTAAGTCTGATTATTTAAGGTTTGTTAGTACTCAGACTGATCCGTATTTTGGACTTACCAAAACTGGCTTACTTCTATTAGGAGAATCAATTGAAGCTTTCATTTACTCTGTGTTGGGTGCACAGGCAGCTACTAGATCACCTATCACCTGGAGCTACGGAAAGTCATCTGCTACCCAGGTTAAGTTCAGCGCACTGGTAAATGATTGTGTTATTCAAGCTGATCCTGTTGTAACTCTAGGTAATATGAGAATTGCTATTAGAGACACAAATGTTGTACTTAACACAGCCGTCACCCCTGGAACCGTTCTGATTCCATCAAGTCTCATAATTCTAAGTAAGCCTATACCTGGGTATAACAATATTCTGAAAAACGCAACAAAGGATATGAAAAGAGGAGTTAATACTGAACTCAACTATGTTGGGGTTAAGAAGGCTAATCTCCCAAAGAAACAGCACCAGGATAATACCCCAGTTAATCACCTTGACACTCTTAGCGGATACATAAAAGTTCCGGGGAGTTCTGTAAGTGTTGCACCTCAGGTTGTTCCTAAGACTGGCACACCAGTCGTACAGCGTAATGTGGTTAGTACCCGTGAGTCTTCAAGTGATAACGTCTTAGCTGGACTTGGTATCGGGTCTGTTGCTGTGTTTCTTATATTGAGAACTATTCTGTGAAACATTGTGTATGTTATAAAAATGGCTCTCTATCGGGGATACAACAAAGGAGTGAATAACGTTGACCCGTCAAGTGGAAGTGTGTTTGATAAAAATGGATTTACCATGAAAGGTGACATTGAGATGGATGGAAACGAGGTGAAGGGTTTAGGTGCTCCTACAGATAACACGTCTGCGGTTACTAAAAAGTGGGTAGATGATGAGATCGTTAAGCAGGCTGCTGTTACAATTCAACCAGCTGGTTTTACAATGACAGGTGACATCAATATGGGAGGTAATAGGATAACCAATCTTGATGATCCTACTGATCCTGGTGATGCCGCTAACAAGAGGTGGGTTGAAGGTAGCCGTGGACATACACATGTTAGTCTACCTGGTCTTATCCTCACAAATGATCTCAATATGTCAACCAATGAGATAAAGAATTTAGGTGATCCCACAAATTGTAAGTCTGCTGTTAGTAAGGACTGGGTCGCTGGAATGCTAAATGGACCTGTATCTGGACTTAACATTGCTGGTGACATTGATATGAAGGACTATGAGATTAAAAATATGGCTGACCCTACAGATGATAAATCTGCTGTTGGAAAGTTGTGGGTGGAAAACAACAACTTCAAAAATAAGGGAGGTTACATGAAAGCAGACATTTCAATGAGTAAGCATTACAGATTATTCGGACTTCCTATCCCTAAATTAGATGATGAAGCTGTTAATAAAAAATGGGTAGAAGATAAGTTAAGTCTAAAAATTAATAGTTCTGGTTTCTCTATGACTGGTGACATTGATATGAAGGATCATGAGATTAAAAATGTTGGTGATCCAAAAGAGGATAAATCTGTTGTTTCCAAGGGATGGGTTACCTCAGGGTTTACCCTACAAGGTGATCTGACTGTTGCTAATGGGAATTCAATTTACATGATCAATAAACTTGGTACAAAAATAGTTGTCCCGGATATTCAAACTGTTATTAACCAAATTTCACGCTTTACCCTGAAGTTGGACGGTTCAAATGAAATGGCTGGCGTCCTCAAAATGGGTGGTAATGAAATTAAAAACATTGGTGCTCCTAGTACTGATACATCTGCTGTTTCTAAAAAATGGGTCGAGGATAAGATCAGTGGGGGTAGACGTAGACGTGAAACTTATAGTGGATTAACTCTAAGCGATGACCTTGATATGGATAACAATGAGATAGTAAAGTTAGGTGATCCCACTACTGACAAGTCTGCTGTGTCTAAGAAGTGGGTTACTGATCATGTTAGTGGAAGTTCAATCAATAGTAGTGGATTTACGATGACTGGTAATATTGACATGGGAGGGCACAGTATAACGGGTCTTGCAGGGGGCTCTGTGGGAGACACAGCTGCACTTTCAAGTAAGACGCTGGACACTTGGGGCTTACAGTTTCTGAAGCGTAACGGTGGTACGTTAGCAAGTAATCTTGATGTAAATAATTTTGAGTTAACCAAGGTAGCTGACCCAACAACTGACGGTTATGCTGTTAATGAGAAATGGGCAACTGATGAGTTCATGAGTAGTAGAGGTGGATTGGTAAAGGGTGATTTGGATATGGGAGATTCAAGTGGTATTCTTGATCTAAGGGATCCGGTAAATGATAAGGATGCAGTTAACAAGCAATGGGTGGAAAATAATTTCCTAAAAACTTCCTCAGGTCTTGTACAAGCAGTG